TAAAATAAAAAAAATATTTTTTTTTTTAATCAAAAAAATAAAATAAACAATAATAATAAATAAAATTATGAAATACCTACTAAATTTTATTTATATAAATATTTTATGATTATTCTCGTTATTTAAATATATTTATATTTATAAATCAATGTTTCTTATAATATATAATTAAATTTCTCAATTATTTATTTTGTTTATGTAAATGTAATTTTATATATTGACTTTTAATATCTTTATTTCATTATTCTTAAATAAATTTTAATATTTATTTTATGATTATTAATGTATTAGATTTAATAATATATATAATTTTTAATATATCTTTGATCATCTATACTTATTTATCTTAAACATACTTTCTAATTATTTCTAAATAATCATATTGTTATTAATAATACACATAATATATATATATCTAATTTTATTAATATTTTAAAAATAAAAAACAAACAAAAAATAATATAATTTATTTAAAATATATAAAAAATGATATTTATAAAAAAAATTATATATTCTTAATAATAATAAACAATTATGAAAATATTCCTTTTTTTTATTTTGAAGAAATAATAAATAAATGAAAATCATTTAATATTTTTTAAATATCCAATTCTCCAATCTAATTATTCTATATCTGCTAAATATCTCCATTATCTATTTTAATACCCAAAACTGGAAGGAATCTTCTAATATTCATCTTTAAGTCTTTCATATTTAAATTTTAATCCATTTAGATACAATTATTTAAAATTTCCAGACAATTATTTGAAATGTTATAATTCCCAATCTTTTATTTCTCTAAAAATAGCAAAATCCTTTTATTTTATTTATTTTTTAAACATAAAAAAAAATTACTCTTTCTTTTTTACATTATATAAATTTTTCATAAAAATCAGTACATTCATTATGTATTTAAAATATTTTCTCACATTTTATTAATTTTATAATTTCTTTTTCGCAAAGATTTTCTATGTCATATAATATAATAGTAAAAAAAAAAAATGTAAAAATTTATACTTTAATTTACATGGAATTCTATCTTATGGAAAACCTCGAGGAATAGAAGGTGAATATTCTTCACAAATACTTTAAGGATAATTTTTTTAATATAAATTGGGATTCATTTTCTAATAAAATAATGTAAAAAGGATAATTTTATTAATGTATAAATATTTATATATATATAGATATATATAAATATATATATATATATATATATATATATATACATATATTTAATTTTAATATAAAATTAAAGATTTTAACATATAATAAACAATAAATTAATATATTTAAAATTTATAAAACATAGAAATATAAAAATATTATATTAATAAATATAAGTTAATTAATAAATTTAAATGAGGAAAAAAATCATAAAATTTTCCATAAGCAGAAATTATTTTATGTATCAAATGATACAAATTAAGTGATTAATTTTTTATTATATTCTTAATTTTTGAAATTTTCAATGATTTTATTTTTGATATTATTTAAGTTATTTTAATAAAATATTTAATTTTTAAAATAACTATTTTTAAATTTCTTTTTATAATTAATAACCCCTTTTTTTTTTTGCTTTTATAAATACTTTTACTATTACTCTTATTTTTTGATTTTTTAAATTCTTATTTTTCATCTTCATCGTAAATTTCTTCTTTTTATAATTCTTTTATATACTAAAAAAATTAAATAAATTATTAAAAAAAAAAATTATATATATATAATAAACATACAATTAATTATTTATTATTTTCATTTTTGAATAATCTACTTCTTTAATTAACTTTAAAGTTTTCATTATTAATTGAAATCATTTCATTTTCATAAAAAAATAAAATATTATTACTAATACTTTCAATGATAAAATTACATTACTAATTTTAATTAAACTTTATTTAATAAACAAGTTAAATTTCCTATTTTTTTTCTTCGAAATTCCAAATATTAATTTCCGTTTAACTCATTGAAACGAATCTTTAAAGACAAAAAAAGTACGGAATTTCTTGAATTTTCTACACTTTTGAAAAATGCTAATTTTTTCCAAAACACAAAGGATAAAAAGCCTTGTTTTTTTTCTATTTTTTTTTTCAAAAGTCTAAGTATTATCATCCAAATTAAAATCATCTTCAACTTCCAAAAAGTTTTCTTATAAAAAATTTTTTTATTTATTACTTTAAAACAAATCTTCTACATTTATATTTTCCTTTAAAATTTCATTTGCATCAACTTTCCATAAACAAATGAAAAAATTCTCTTTATTATAACAATCACTCCCTGCTAAAACGAAATTTTTATTAATCTTTTGAATACTTTATAGACTAGAAAATAAAAAATCATTCTATTGATAATTCTCTATTTTTAAACTACTTATTTTCCTTAAATTTTCTTTATTTAATATATATATTTTTTTCAAAGAAGCTGCAAACAGGTATTCATCACTTGTTTTTATTTAATAAATAAAAGTCTTAAATACATCAGACTCGGCTAATTTACTAAATTAATTATTGCTTAGCCATAATATTATTTTTCGGTCTTAAAATCCACATGTATATAATTATTAAAAACTACTATATATGTTGTTCTTTAAGATTATAAATTGCACTTTCGAATTTATATGTGCATTCTATTGAACAAATATCAACTTTGAATTAAAATTTTAGTAGAAATAAGCATATAATGAGCCATAAAGGTCTCCTATATATATTATATTATTTGCATATTCGAAAAATGTTATTTAAAAAGAAAAATTTTATTTGTAAATTAATTATAGACATTTTTAATTAAATTTATTTTCCATTTTTTTAATTATTTTATTTTTATATATTATTAATATTTATATTCATATTTAATTTGCAAAAAATTATATAAATATATTAATATAATATAATAATAATTTTAATCCTTTTATTTTATTTTATTAAATAAATAAATATATATAAATATATATAAATATATATAAATATATATAAATATATAATAAAATTATATTTAATATACTTCTTTTTATAAATTTATAAGTAAAAAAAAAATATACAATCAAATTAAATAATAAAAAAATATTAAATATTTTCTAAATAATTAATTTATAAATCCAAAAATTTTAATGAAATAATTATAAGCAAAATTATATGTAGATCTTTTTTTTTTTTGTATTAAGAATACTTTTATTAAAATAAAAAAATATATTTTAATAAATTGTATAAATCATAAAAACGAATTTAATAAATAATATGTATATATATTATTATTATTTATATATAATCTGAAATATAGATCCAAAATTATATATATTAACCAAATTTATTTTTTAAGTGATAGCTCAAAAATTTCTTTTAAATTAATTTGATTTATGTTTATTTTCAATAATATAAGCGAATAAATATTATATATTAAAAATTCAAAATAAATTAATATATAGATTTTTTTTTTTTAAGGTTAATCACTAAATATTAAAATATTATAAGATTAGTTTAATTTTTATTAGTGTTTTTTCTATTTTTTACATTAGCAAATTATATCTTTTTAATACTTTCAGCAAAAAAAGTAATATTAATTAAACCTAAAATCATTAAATGATATTTATAATAATTATTATCAGATTTATTATTTGAGTTTATATTTTAGTTTTAAACTAAACATATAATAATATAATTTTATTGACTTTTGAAAAAAATCAAATAGAAAAAAATATTTTTGACAAGGGTTATATATAAATTAACAATATATTATTAAATTTGAAATTATTTGAATATATTTTTATAATATTATTTCATAATAATTTAATTTTTATTAGATTTGAATTTAACAACAGAACTTTTCGTAAAAAACATGTTATAAGTAATTAATATGAAAAACTTATTTAGTTTTTTTAAAACTAAATATATATTTATTTATTAAATTTTAATAAAATTCTTATTTTTTATAAAAAAATCATTTATTTTGTTAATTTTTTTTCGTAATTAAAATTTTATTGATTTTTTTTAAAAATATTATTTTTAATAATTTGAATTAATATGTATTTTAAATTCTGATTATATTTATTATAATATTTAATTAAATATCTATTTTATTTTTCTTAAAATAATAAAAGATTTTTTTATTTATTTTGATATAATATACTATATCTTAATTAATTAAATAACTATTTTTAAATCGTCTTATATATGAAAATAATGAAAAAGAATATTAGATTGTTTAGATTTTTAGAAATCCTTATTAAAATTTTTTATTATTATTATTATTATTATTATTATTATTATTAATATTATTATTATTATTAATAATCATTTTTAATAATTATATTTTATTTATAATACATATTTTCATTATTTTATATTTATAACACTAAATATTTCTTTTCTTTTTTTTTTTTTATTTTAAACACATACTATTTTTATATTTTTATATTTTTATATTTTAATTTTTTTAGTTTTTATTAATAAATATTTATATCTTTTTAATTATTATTTTTAAATTATTTAAACACATATATTTTTTAATATAGTTAATAATATATATAAATATATAAATATATAAATATTTTTTTTTTAAAAAAATATATAATAATATTTATTATGATAATTTATTTATTTTATTTAAGATTTTATAAACATGTATTTTTTTTATAAATAATAAAAATTAATTTATAAATTATTTAAAAATATTTATTTTTATAAAGTAATAATTTTATAAAAATAATTTTATTAAAAATATATCCTCATTTTATTTTACTAAGAATTTTTTTTTTTATATGTCTAATATTAAATATATACAAGCATTAAAAATAATTTTATTATATTTATTTATTTATAAATTAATTAATTATATAAATTATATTTTTTAATAATTTTTTTATAAAATTTATAATATAATAATATATATATACATATATATTATTAACATTTTAAAAATATAAACTATCAATTTTTATTCTAAGTAATATATTTTTTATAAACCAACATGCATTAAGCTACAAAAGCTTCTAAATGAAAAATAGTTTTCGATCCTTTATTCATTTAATTTTCATGATAAGCTGCCCAATAAATAAACTCCTACTAAATAAAATTATTATTAACTATCCCAATAAGTTCTTACATAAGTTACTTAATAATAACATCTCCAGGTATACAATTAACTAACAAATCATAAAACTATCCTCTAATCTCCTTTAATTTAAAAGGTGATTATTAATCTTTAATCCCTTATGCGATTTTTCCAATTTCTTTTTTCCATTCACTTTTCACAGACCCTCCATCAAACGCGCTTTTATTTAATTTTTACATTTACAAATTTAAAATAATATCTCTTAAATTTCTTCCAAACCCATCTCCCATCTTCCTACAAATTTCCTTTAAAATAATAAAAAAATTAAAATAAAAAATAAAAAAAATACTTCACTAATATTTGGTAAATTTTCTTGATTTTAAATTTTTTTAACAACTTTTATAATATCCCCTTCATCAGGTGCAGGTACTCTAATAAGTAAACACCTACTTCTCAAAGGTTAAATGACCCTTCCAATATTTTCACAACATAAAATGAGTCTACATCTATTTACATATTTTTCCATAGTCCTTCTCAAAGAGGCCTATGCTTCTAAAGTTAATCTATCTACTTCATTTAAAATTACAACTTTAAAGCTTTTTTAACTAGTAGGGTCTAATTAATGTGTCGAAGCCACTTCTTTTATTAATTTTTGTATTATTACTCTATCATATACTTCAGCATCTGCCGGTGTGACATCTATATGGTAGTTTGAATATATTATGTTTATTTCACATGTTGCGCTCGATGTTGAGCTTACTTTAAATTCTCGCTCTTCTGCTTTTATTTTATGCACTCCATTACCATATACTTCATGTAAAAATGACATTATACGGGTCTTTTTCCCTGCACCATTTGGACCGTAAAATAATAGGTGGGGAAAATCTTCGGAATGTGCTAAACTTTTTAAAGTTTCCGTTAATTTTTCGTGATAGTCAAGCTATGATAATTATTTAGGACGATATTGGTCTACCCAGAGTTTATCCATAATATGCTTTCTTTTTTTTTTTCTTTTAGTTATTTATGTTTAGTTTTTTTTTTTATTATATTTTTAGCGCGGTTTTAAGTACTAAAAAATATATATATATTTTTTTTTTAAATTAAATAAATTATATGTAAATGGTTTTAAATTTTTTTTAAAAAAAAATATAATATAAATAATACATATTATATATATATATAAAAAAAAAGACACATTCATAAAAAATAATCTGGTGTTTTCTTAGTTATATGTACTTCCCCTCTTCTAGGAGCTGGATCAAATTATAAATAAGTCATATTCATATTTTCATCAACTTCAATTATAGCTGCCTAATTTCCACATCTATAGCAATAATTCGGTGCTGAAAAAAGAGTTACAACTTTCTTATCATGAGTTTATTCATAGCCTTCCATAACAAGTTAATGTGCTCTATAAATGAACTAAATATTATTAAATAAAATATATTATTCTGACATATCTTATCCAAAAGTAAATCCTGCTCCCCTAGGACTTTAATTAAACCCACTTCTACTATCAGGATCACTCCATAAAAGATCACACATAGGTCCTATATATATTAATTATAAATACTTATATATATTTATTTTATAAAAAAATGCCTTCATGTGGAATTTCCTAAACTCTATCTAATTATCGAATTTCATCTAAAGATTTTATATTAGGAGATAGTCCTCCATGCAATCCGAAAATTTGCCCTTCAACTAATGCTGTTAATGGTAAAAAATCAAAGAGATCAGTGAAGTATTTCCAAACATTCGCATTTCCGTATTTTCTTAAGCATTCATCATAAAACCCATATACTTAAGTAATTTATCTTGATTCATGATTTCCTCTCAAGAGAGTAATTCTATCTTTATATCTTACTTTTAAAGCGGTTAATAAAGATACACATTCGACTGAATAATAACCTCTATCTACATAATCGCCTAAAAAAAGGTAGTTTGTGTCAGGAATTTTACCTCCTATCTTAAATAATTCCATTAAATCGTGAAATTATCCATGTATATCACCGCATATTGTAATTGGACTTTTTACTGGTTGTACATTGGATTCTAAACGGAGGATTTCTTGGGCTTTTTCACATAAAAATTTTACTTCTTACTCGCCTATTTGTTTGCCTTCGTAAAGTTGGTCGATGTATAAATCTAAATTTTGAATTTCTTGATTGTTTAATTTGCTCATGTTTTCTTTTTTTATAAATTTAATATATATATATATATTTTTTTTATATATAAAAAAATAAAAATTAAATTATATATAATATTTTAAAAATAAATAAAAATAATTATTTTTATTAATGTTTAAATTTATAATTTACAATTTATTTTTTTAAAAAATATTTTATTTTTTTTATTTTTAAAAATCGAAGAGTATTTATATATTTTTAATTTTTCTCTTTTTTATAAATAAAAAAAGTTGAAATATCTCAAATTTTATGTCTCCTTTATACATGTTTAGTAAGTTCTTGATTATCTTTGAATTTTCTTCCACAATCTTAAAAATAAAAATTAATTAAAAATTAATTAAAAATCTATTACTTGGAACTAAACAAATATACATCTCCTCAGGCATATTATTAAGTATCTAATTAATTAAATTTCTCAATTCAAAAACTTATGTAATTTCATTAGTTTCTTCTTATCTATATGATTTCGACTTGAAAAAAAGAAAAAAAAAAATATAACAAAACAAAATTAATATTATTTATATATACGATAGCAGTATCACATTATTCCCCATATTACATTAGAATATTTTCGATTCTTTAAGTAAAATCTTACTAAAGTTTATTATTGTTTTCCATTATGTTTCCTATACACTAAAATAAAAGAAACATAAATATATATATATATAAATAAAATAATATATATATACCTTTAAAGACACAGAAATTAAATCATTATCATCTATATTACAATCTTAGACAATTTACAAAAGGCTTTCCATAACTTAATTATCCATTTATCTCCTAAATTAATATTTATGTATTAATTATATAAAAAAATTATTAAAATTAACTTTATATCATCATTATTGGTTAAATTAATTAAACTTCCAATAGCATAATATACAATTTCTTTCTAATTTGATTCAAGTAAAATAACCAAAGCATCAATAATTTTATATTTAATAATTTATTTGATTAATTCTTTACATCTACTTAAATTACTTAAAATTCTCAAAGCTTCGCAACAAATATCTTCTTATTCTGTTTACATTATAAACCCAGAAATAATAGCCAAAATATCGTTTTTTAAATTCTTAAACTCAAAATCATTCTAAACAATAACTAATTTATCATAAAAAGTCACATTAGCCAAACAACATAAAACACATTCAATCATTTCTTTATTTTAACTAAAGTTATTATATTTCTACAAAACAAGTTTTGACTTTTTTAATAAATCTTAGTAATACATTGTTTTTTTTGAACATAAATCGTTTCCTATATCTTGCACAGTCAATAAATTAGCTATTAATCGAAATAATTTCATTAAAGCTTTAGAATCAGTCCTATAAATTTATATAAATAGTTTAAATATAAAATATATATATATATTTATATATATATATAAATATATTTATTTAAATATTTAATTATATTTTAATATAATACTCATTTTGCATCATTTTAAAATCCCAAGCTTATGTTGAAACACTTAATTTATCTATAATAGGTTCATTTTTTTATATATTTAATTCTCTTTATACATAAAAATCTAGGCAATTGTAAATATCTTTAAAAGCTGAATATTCGAAATAGATAAGATTTCTTATAGTTTCATTATAAGTAGTAATATTTGCAAATATAAATGCAACTCTTATGATAATAAAAATGTTTTTTTTATATATTTTAAAGAAAGTGCACATTTTTTAAATGCAATTTTTATTTTCAAATATTTTGAAAGAACAATCTTTATTTAAAGAAATTTTTGATAAAATTCTTACTGTATTTAACATTAAATCATTAGATTAAGATGAATATTTTTCTATTGAAAGGCATAATTTTTCTATTACATTTTGATCCAAAAAATACTTCGCGCACATAATTTCGATTGCTAAATTTCTTAATAAAGCCGTAATTTATGTATATAAGGAAAGAATTTTTTCATTAATTTCACATTCAAAAAAGTGCATTAAATTTATTATTATTTTAAAGTTTTTTCTTGGAAAAAATTAAGCCTTATTTCTTCGAAATTCGCAAAGTTTTTTAAAATTTAAATATTCAAATATAATATATCTATTAGATTTTCATTAAATTATAATTAATTTAAAACTTTATTTAAACTATATATATTATTTATTAGATTTTAAAACATCTCTTCTTTATTTTATATTTCTTCACTTTTTATATCTTTACATATATTCAATACTTCCCTATATACAATAATTATTATTTATAAATAATCATCTTTTTTTTCCTGACATTATTAAGATTATGCTATTTATTAATATCCTATTTAAGCAAAAGCTTATAAACAAGTTGTAAATATTTTCATTCTTATTTTTCCGTTTTCTATATTCATTAATAAAGATATAAGACCTTATAATAATGTTTCTCGATTATATATTTTTTGATTTTAAAGGGATTATTTTTACCAATCAATTATTAAATTTATTATGGATTGATTTAATATTTTTATTTCTATTTCACTATTATTTTTATTTATTTATTTTTGGAAAATTAATTATATGTTTATGCATTTTTATTTTACTTTAGTTTTTTTATTTATAATGGATCTTAATATTAATGTATATTATTTAATATTTATTAATATTGTTTTTCATATTATATATTTGAAATGGTTAATTCTGGAAGTTTTATTTCTTCTTAAGTATTTTCTTTATTTTTTATAAATTTATTTTTTTATTGATTTTTTACTTTTGCTTAAAATTATTCTTTTTCTCATCATTGACATTTTTTATATTAATAAAAAAGGTTAATTATAATTTATATTTTTTTTTTTAAAAAAAAAAAATCTAATTGAAAAAATATAATTTTTATTATATAATTATTAATTACTATTATTTATTTATTTAAAAAAAAAATTAAAAAATGAAATATAATAAAAATTATTATTTAAAATTAAAAATTTAAATAATCAAATTTATTAAAAAAGCGAAAATAATTGTAAATTAAAAAAAATTAATCTTCATTATTATTATTTAATATTAAGTTAATAATTTTTTAGTTATAAAAGTAACTATTAATTTTTTTCTTATAATTATATATTAATATTTTTAAGATTTTGCATTTAATCTTTAAGTACGCAAAGAAAATTCTATAAATTATTCTTATCTTAAACAATAATATTCTAAACTGTATCATTATTTTTTATTTATTAATTTAAATGTTGAATATTTTCATTTAATTTCTAAATTTTAATATCATATTAATTCCTAAACTATTTCATATTAATTTCATTATCTTATTCAAGTTTATTTTTAAGATCTTTTTTAACCTATTGTATAATCTCATTTAAATAGTCCTAATTATTATTTGTTTCTGTATTATTTTAATTTTATTAAAACATTTTTTCTTCTTCTTCTTCTATATATTATATAAATTCTCCTCGACTTTTTTCTGACTCTAAGAATGACTTTTTACATTTTTTTTCACAATAACTATTCTAACTGGGTTATTTAAGTAAACTATTATTTTATTAAAATACCAGTGATTTAACAAAATTTTGATTTTTTTACATTATATAATTATAAAAGACACTTATGATTTAATCTTTATTGACTTAATTGTTATTATTATTTTAATTTCCCTAAAGAATTTATGAGTATAAAAGTTTGGCACTTTCATCTAAACAATAATTTATTTCTTTAAAAAAACTAGAAATCTAAGCAAATACATGTCCTAATTCACCACTTTATTATTCGAAAATTTACAAAATTTTCAAACATAATTATTATTTATATTAGAAATTTTCAATATTATTTTAAAGTTCTTGTAATTGTTTTCCAAAAAAATTAATAGAAACTTTTGCATTTCTTCTAATTTTTATTATTAAAAAATCATCTTCGTCTATTTTTTTCTCATTTATTTTAAAATTATTAATTGTATTATTTCTTATTAAAAAATTATTATTTTTAATATCTTCTTTTTTAATAGGACTTTATATAATTCTTTCTTTTCCTGAAAAAGGTCTCTTTTAAAAAAAGGTTTTTTTCTATTCATCTAAATATATTTTTATTATAAAAGTATGATTTTCGATAAAATATATAAATATATATAATATACGAAATCTTATAAGCATTTTTTATAAATTTAAAAAAAAAAATATAAAAACTATTTATTTTATTTTTTTTTAATGAAAAAAAAAAAAAAAAAAGAATAAATTAAAATGTAATGTTTTTTATTAAATATATAATTTATATACTAAAATAAAAAAAATTCGACACCTGTGAGATTTGAACTCACGCTCCCAGAGGGAAACGGCTTAGCAGGCCGCCGCCTTAACCACTCGGCCAAAGTGTCTTTTATATAATTTAATAAATTAAATACTCCCAAAATATATAAAAGATTTATCAATTTTTTTATTTAATATATTTTCATTAATATTTTAATAAATTTAATTTTTAAATGAGTTAAATTTTATGTCTTTTTTTTTCTTTTTTTTCTGTTAAATAAATAAATAAAATAGTTCATTTTAATAAAGATATTATTAATAAAAAGTTTTATATATATAAATATTAAATTAAATATAAAATATATATATCTCATTTAAATATATTTTTAAAAATATATTTAAATAAGATAAATATAATTATAAAATTTAAATTATTTTAATATATTATTATATTAATTTAATAAAAAATTATAAAATAAATAAACAAATGTTGTTATTTTTAAAAAAATTTATGTACATATAATTTTTTCTTTTCTAATATAAATATATATTAAATATAAAATAATATATTATATATATTTTTTTAAAATATTATAATATTTATATTAAATAATGAACAACTAATAAAACATATTATTAAATTAACTTTTTTAAATACATTAAAAATATTAAAGCCACTTCAACAATTTAAACAATTAACATATGAATAAATTTAATTAATTAGGTTTATATTTTATTTAATTATAAATCTAAATATAATTTTTATTTATTTTTTTATATAAAAGAATAAAATATAAATTAATTAGATTAATAAATAAATGAATATTTTATACAAGAAAAACAGTAATAAACTAAATAAGTACATAAATAGTAAAGATAAAATAGTGATATAAAATGTAATTGTATTAAATTAATTTTTTAAAAAAAAAAAATTAATAAAAGAATAAATTTTAAAAATAATTAATAATAATAAATATTTTTTTAAATTAAAAAAGTTTATACAAATTAATTTTGAAAAGAATTATTTATAAGTTTAGACAAATTAATTTTGAAAGGAATTAATATTTTGGTTTAGAATTTATAAATATTTTAATAAAAATAAAAATATATTGTAATATATTTTTTTAAAAATTCTTATAAATATTATTGTTATTTTAAAGAAATGTTTTATTTAATAATTAAAATAATGATCAATTTATTATTATTATTATATTATAATATATGTAATTAATATATATAAAATGAAAAACAATAAAATATAAAATACAAAAATATCATTTATTCTAAATATTTTTTCCTTCTTTAACGATTCTTTTAATTTCCTCAACTATATAAAAAAAAATATGTATAAAAATAAATTAAAATATAAATATAAAAAATAATAAATTTTATATGAATATATAAAAGTATATTTATATATATATATATATATATATATATATATATATATATATATATATATATATATATTTATCTAATTTTTTTTATACATATACATATATTTTATATAATAAAAACCTGTCAAGGTTTCATGTTTAACTAATTCTTCAACTAATAGCTTGAGTTATTTATCATTTTTTTTTAATAATCCTTTTACTCTTTCATATGATTCCTTAAAATAGAAAAAACATTATTAAATTAAAATTAATTTATTAAAAATAAACCTTTAAAATTTTTTAAACTTCCACATCCATTAAATAATTATATTAATCTGAAGTTTTTATTTTATCACTAGCAGAAATAAGAGTTAGATTTTCATTCATTCCCAACTACTTAACAAATGAGTAGGCTAACTAAGTAGCTTTATTTAAATCACTACTGCATCCTGTTGTAATATTTTCGTTTCCCATATGCAAATCTTCTGCTGCTCTTCCTCCCATTGCTACATCAATCATCGCCAACATAGACTTTTTGGTATAATTATGCATATCAGTTTCCGGTATCATTGAAGTGAATCCCAAAGCCCCTCCTCTTGGTAAAATAGTAACTTTATGTAAAGGTGTAGCCCCTTCAGTTAATAAAGCCGTTATAGTATGTCCTCCTTCATGAATAGCAGTTGATCTTTTATCTTCTTCTGTAATAAACATATTTTTCCTTCCAACTCCCATAGCAATTCTATCTAAAGCATAATCAAAATCTATTAAATTAGCTATATTTCTATTATTTTTAATCGCATTTAAAATTGATATATTGACCATATTTTATATATCAGCCCCTGAAAATCCACTAGTTTATCTAGCCAATTCTTTAGCCTTTACATCTTCTTCTTTTTTTATATTCTTTAAATAATATCCAAATAACTACTCCCTCCCTCTTATATCAGGTAATGGCACATGTATTATTTTATCAAACCTTCCTGGTCTTTTTATAGCAGGATCGATTGCCTACTCAAAATTTGTAGCACCAATAACCACTACATTATCAGTTTATTTAAATCCATCCATTTCAGCTAATATTTAATTGACAGTATCTCTAGAACGGGATGGATCAGAACTTCTTCTACTTCCAGCCACAGAATCTAATTCATCAATAAATATTATAGATGGAGCTTTTTCTCTAGCTACTTTAAATAATTATCTTACACGAGAAGCACCTTTTTTATAAAATAAATAAAGATTATTATTATAAATAATTATTTTTGTATATGTGTATATATATATTTTTTTTTTATAGTTATAGTTTAATATATTTACCAACTCCAACAAACATTTCATCAAATTCAGAACCACTTTTATAAAAAAATGAACATCCAGCTTCTCCAGCTAAGGCTCTTGCTAATAAAGTTTTTCCTGTTCCTGGAGGACCTACTAAAAGTATCCCTTTTTTTATTTTATTTATTTATTTTTGTTATATTTAAAAAATCATATTTTTTATTTTATTAGAAATATTACCTTTAGGGAGCTTAGCACCAGCTTCATGATATTTTTTAGGATTTTTTAAATAATCAACAAGTTCAACAAGTTCTTCTTTAAATTCGTCTATACCTAATACATCATTAAATCTTGTTTTGATGTCTTTTTCTTCTTATATATCACCAGATCGATTGAAGATTCTTTTTATTTTTTAATATATTTTGATTAATTTTTTTTAAATTTTTTAATAACTTATTAATAAAATTATTTTAAGAATTTTATTGCTTTTAACTATCTTGTTTTTTTTAATCATCTTTATTTAAATAATATATATATGTATATATATGTATATATATGTATATATATGTATATATATATATATATATATATTTTATATATATATACATATATATTTATATTTATATATATATTTATACCGTCTTTATTTTCTTAATTATCTCTACCAAATATTTTATCATAAAGACCTTAGAGAGATATTTATGTTCCCTATTATAATATTTTTTAAAAAATACATTTATTTATTTATATACATTAATTTCTAATTCATAATTATCTGCAAATAATAAATAGAAGATATATAAATATATTAAAAATCTTATTTTAGATTTTTTTTGTTTTTTTTATTTTTAACTTTTTTAAAAAAAATAAATAAAATAATTATATTTATTTTATTTTTACTTTTGATTCTAATATTAAGTTTCTAAACCTAAGGCTAATATCTTATTTTATGCATACAAAAGCTAATCATTTAATTATTATCTATATTTTTCACCATAAAAATTATCTTTATAAGCTTTATTAAGAATATTTTATAAATAAATAAAATTAAATATTTATTTTATATTACTTTTATATAATTAAACTACTTCAGAGCATCTATTTTATCTATTTAATTCCTTTTTTTTATGAATAATTTTATATATAAGAGAAAGATATTAATTATAAGAGAAATATTTTAATTATTATAATTCTTTACTTTAAAATAATTATATGCTTTTTCAGAAGTTTGTTCTTTAAAAAATTCATTTTATAATTTTTAAAGCCTTTATATCTTTATTTGATTCATTATAAAAATAAAATATAAACTAAAATATTAATTATTTACTTTTAATATTTCAAATAATTAAAATGGATTAAGCATTTTAAAATTATCAATTATTTATTATTTATCAAAAATTTTTTTCTATTAATTTTAAAAACTAGAAAAATAATATTAATTAGCAGAGTTCATATATTCTAATATATTTTAAAATTATATTAATACAAAAAATATTGAATAATATTTTTGTTATTTATATTGTTAAATATAAAAATTGATCTTAGCATTAATTTATAATTTTAATTTTACTTTAATTGATTATATATCTTGAATCATATAATTTATATAAACTTCTAAGTTACTATTTAAAATTCTAATTAATAAATGCATATATTGTTTTTATATATTATACTATCTTTTAAAAAATTTTCATCTATAGTTATTATATATTTTTCTTGATAAACTTTAAATATGTATATTTTTTTATATTTTTAAAATTATAAATTACATAAATATTAATAGAAAAATACAAAATAAAACTAAATTTATATAATACAAATAATGATATTTTTAATAAATATTTAATTAAATATAAAAAAAAAGTAAAAAAAATATATAAATATAAATACAATAAAAAAAAAAAAAATAATAAAAAAATATATATATATATATATATATATATATATATATATATATATTTTTATATATATATTTTTTTATTTTTAATTTCTTTTTTCTTTTTATTTCTTATTTAATAAAAAAAAATTAATATTTTTTTTTATTTTCAAATAATAAAAATTACAATATTTAATATTAATTTTTTTTTATATAATTAATATAATTTTGTTTTATTTTTATTTTTCATTAACTTTTAGACCATTTTTATTATTTTACTTTTTTAACCATATGCTTTTATATAACATCCTTTTTTTTTTAATAATTTAATTTTTTAATTGTATATTATTACATCAAGTTCATCGTAATCTTCTTCTTATAATTTTCTTTTTTTATTCTTTTACAATTCAATTTTGACTGCCTTTATAACAATAATTTAATATAAATAAAATTAATAACTAAAACCTAAATTAAAGGATTTCCTTCAAAATCATCATCATTATCATCATATTACTATTATTATTATTATTATTATTTTTCTTATTTTTAATTTTATTATTCAGCTTTTTCTTCTTAAGCTTATTTTTTAAGTAAAAATTTTCTTTTTTCCTCTTTAGAACTACCTTATTTATTTACTTTATTATTATTATTATTATTATTATTATTATTATTATTATTATTATTTTTATTATTATTATCATTATTATTTTTATTATTATTAGTTTATTTTATTCCAAATTTCTAGTTTATTTTTTTCATTAATCTTTATTTTATTCCTCTGTATTATCCAATATCTTTTAAAATTTCTTTAGCTTTTTCCATATCACTTTTTTGTGCATTTACATTATCTAAAATTTATTAAATTTTTATTTTAGAAACCTCAACTTTATTTTTATCAATTAATTTCTTTTATTTTTTATCTTTTTAATTTATTTGTATTTTATCTTTTTAAATTAATTTTTTTTTCTCGTTTTTCTTCTTCATTTTTCTTACATCTTCAATAGAAAATTCTACAATCGGTATTTTCTTATAATTCTTTTCAAAATTGATTTTTTCTTTTATAAAATATTCCATAAATATTAGGGCATTTTCATGATTATCGAACTCCAAAAATCCGATTCCTCTACTTTTTGGTACTCCATTTTAATCAAGTTTCTACTTATCTCTTAATAAAAGAACCTTTAAATATAATTAGAAAAATTATAATATTAATAAATATGAATAAAAAATTATTATGAATATAAATTTTATAAAAAAATTAATTAAATAACAATATTTTATTTATATAAAATTATTATTTAATAATTATTTTTATTTTTTTATAAAATTACTTATTTTATCGGATTATGTTTGAGTAAAAAATCTTTTCCTTTTTATTAAGAAAAAGCTTTTCTTGTAAATTCTTTTAATTATTCTTCTTCAAATTATTTTTTAGGTAAATTCATTAAAGCAATTCCTTATTAAATTAATTATATAGATATTTAAATATATATTTAAATATATATTTAAATATATATAATATATATTTATATTTATATTTATATATATATATGTATTATATAGTAATTTATACTTATATATAATAATTATACATTATATAAATACTTGTTTTTGATATATAATTATTTGGGTTCTGTAATTTATTTAATTTTTCTTATATATGTTATTTTCTTTTTTACTTATCTTCCTCACTCATATTTTTTTCTACTTCAAAAATACCTATAGTAGCTAATTAAAGATTTCTTTTTTATTATCTATCAAATTTAACCAATTAATCTAGTGTTTTAACCTTATCTAAAGTAATTCTATTTCTTTCTTTTTTATCTTCCATAACTTTATTAATATCATTTTTTTTTTTAGCTTCTAAAAATACTAGTCTTCTTCCTTTTAATTCTATATCTATATCAGTAATACCTATTTATTTTAACATAAATATATAAAATTAAAAAAAGAAAATACCATCAAAATCAATTTTCTATTTTCCATTTTTTAAATAATCAATTTCAAACTATTAACTTTTTAAATTAAAGTTATACAATTTCCGGGTTTTTAAATTTTACAAAACCAGTTCCTTTATTATCTCCTGTATCATGATTTATGCAAACCTTTTATTTTTACAATTTATTTATTTATTTATATATATATATATATATAATTTCTACTTTTGCAAATACAACATCACCAAATTATTTACAAAAATTATAAAGATCTCTATCTTTTATATCGTAAGCTAAATTTCTTACGAAAACAGTGTTTGATAAATCCTCGTTTTAATTTTAATTTTTTTTTTATATTTTAATTTTTCTTTAATTTTTTTCCCTCTTCTTCTTCATCTTCATCTTCATCTTCTTCATCTTCATCTTCTTCATCTTCTTCATCTTCTTCATCTTCTTCGTCTTCTTCGCCTTCTTCGCCTTCTTCGCCTGTTTTTTAATTTTACTTTTATTAAATACCTTCTTTTTATTCTTCAGCATCTTAATATTGGCCATCTGACTCTAATTCTTCATCATTATTTTCTATTATATTATAAATATTAATATGTATATTTTTCGTATAAAAATAATATTAACTTATATCAACATTATTTTCTTATTCATCGTTTTTTGTAAATTTTTTAAATTCTTACTAAGAAACAGCTAAATCAAGAATAATTTATCTTCCTTTCCATTGAGTATTATTTAAATCCTTTTTTATATATTTATTTTTAAATATATAAAAAAATATTTACTTTTATTGCTTTCAAAGCATTATTTTTATTTGTAAATTAAACAAATGCAAAACCTTTTTTTTATTTGTTGATGGATTAATTGGTATTTATATTTCATTTATTTCCCCAAACTTAGAAAGTAGTTATTTTATATGTTTTTCTGATATATCAAAAACTAAATTTCTTATTATAATTCTTCCTTTCTTTGAATCTTGATATTTTTTTTTATATTTATTAAATAAAATAATATATATAACATTAATCATCTTTATTATTTTAAATATTTTATTTTAATTCTTTTACCATTTTTTTTAATTTTATACTATAATAATATTTAGATTAAAAATATATTTAATTATTCTTAATTAATAAAAATATATTAATTTTTTTAATTTTTAAAATATTAATTGATTAAAATATATTATAAAATTGTTTAAATAAATAAAAAAAAAAATTTAATGAGATTAGTAATAAAAAAGTAAAAAATAAATACAATAAAAAAAAAAAATTTAATCTATATATTAAAAAAAAAAAAATTAATAAAATATTTAGTAAATATATATATATATATATATATAAATATAAAAAAAAATATTTAATATAATTATTTTAAGTAAAAATAAAAATATATATATAGTCATAAATAAATAAAAATTAAAGTAAATTCTCAATAAAATAAAAAATATATAAATTTATATATATATATATATATAAATATATAATTATAAAATTTATATATTATTATTTTTATTATATATATACATATATATTTTATATTCTTTTTTTTTTTATAATTATTATTTTTATTTTATATAAAAAAATATTTTATTATTTATAATATTTACATAATTAATTTATAAAATTCAAGATATATTTATTTTATATATATTTTATTTTATATTTAATAATTTTTAAAAATAAATATAAAATAAAAAAAAGTTAAACTAAAATTAATAAAAATTATTTTAATTATTTCGTATTAATATAGCTAAATAATAAATCTTTTTAATAAAAAATGGTTTTATATTATTATTATTTATTTATTTCATTTATATATATTAATTTATAAGAAATAAAATATATAAATTTAAATAAAATAAAATAAAAAAATAAAAAATAAACATATCAAAAACATTATATAATTAAATTAAAAAAAAAATGATTTCTAAATTTTTTAAAACTCCACACCAAATCTACAAAAGTTCATACCATTTTACTAGTACTAAACAAAGAATTTCCAAAGAGGAAAAAGTGGATGGTTCAATTTCGGACATAGTTTACACATTTATGGACTAAGCATCTAAATATACAGCAATTTCTCCCGCTATGATGAATTTTTATAAACAATGTGATAATTTGTTTGAAGTATCTATTCCTTTTTAAAGATAGGATGGTAAATTAGAAGTAATAAAAGGCTTTAGATGTTAACATAAAACTCATTAATTACCCACTAAGGGTGGTCTTATTATTAGTCAAAATGTAATTAAATAAGATATTGAGGCTTTTGCATGCTTGAATACTATTAGATCTAATACTCTTCATATTCCACATGGAGGAGCTAAAGGAGCTATTGTGCTTAATCCTTTAGATTATACAGAAAGAGAATTAGAAATGATTATTAGAAAATTCACTGTTGAATGCGCTAAAAAGGGAATTATTGGTAGCTCTATTGATATTCCAGTAATAACTTTACATTTATATTGTTTTAATTAAAAATAAGGGCACTGATTTAGGAAGTACAGATAGAGAAATGAACTGGATTAAAGATACATATACTTAGTAAATATTATTTTATAAAAAAATAAAAATATTTTTATTTTTAATTTATAAATAAAAAATATAGCTTCTATGGTAAAGAAGATATTAATTCTGCCGCATGTGTCACAGGAAAAAGTTTAGTAAAAATATAAAAATACATATATATGTTAATATTAATATCTAAAATTAAAAAAAAAAAAACAACAACAAATAGAATCAAGGAGGACTTAGTGGAAGTTAAGAATCATCTGGATTTTGCGTATACTTCACTTTAAAACATATGTTAAGTTAAGATGATTTTTGTTAAAAAGCTGGTATATAAAAAGGTTTAAAAGGAAAAACATTTATTGTTGAAGTAAATATATATATATATATATTTATATTTTTATAAAATATATATTTATTAAATAAGGGATATGGTAGTGTTGGTTACTGGGCCTCACATTTTTTATAAGAAGCAGGTGCAAAATTAGTCGGTGTAGTAGAAAGAGATGGTGAAATATACAATTCTGATGGTTAAAAATTCATATATATATATATATATTCTATAAATAGGAATTGATGCTAATGATATATAAAATTACAAAGTTTAAAATAAAGGAATAAGTGGATATCCTAAAGCAACTTTCTAAAAAGATGTAGCTTTTTAAAAATGTGATATTTTTATTCCTGCATTTTTCGCTAAATCAATACATTCAGAAAATGCCGATAAATTTAACTGTAAAGTAATAGCAGAAGGTGCAAATCTTTCAGTGACTCCAAATGCAGAATAAATACTAGAAAAAAAAGGAGTCTAAATCATTCCTGATGTTATTGCTTCTTCAGGAGGTTTTCTTTCTGGTTATTTTGAATGGATAAAGAATATCTCACATAAGCATCATGGATCTATGACTCGTAAATGGGAATAAAAAAGGTATGTATATAAATATATAATTATAATTTATAATAAACAAAAAGTAATATACAATTGTTAGAAACTATTGAAGTAGAAACTGGATTAAAATTAAAAAACATATTGGTTAACATTTTATGGATATATAAGGAGCAACTGAAGTATAAAAAAAAAAATTAATATATTAACATATTATTTTAGCATGATCTTGTAGAAAGTGGCTTAGAAGAAAGTTATGAAAGATCTTTAAATGAAAGTATTAACACTAGTAAAAAATTAAATGTTAATTTAAGAATTGCAACTTATGTAAATGCATTAACAAAATTGAATATTCATTATAGTTAAGTTGGAATGACATTTAGTAAATGAAAAAAAAAAGTTTTTCTAATTTATTTTTCTATTTTTTAAGTTTGTATTTTTACATTTTTTATAAAAATAAATAAAACAAAATAATAATAATAAAAAAAAAAATATATGTATAAAAATATATTTAAAAATATATTAAAATTAAAATGAAATATTTTAAAAATATATATATATATATATATATATATATATATATATATAAATAAATATATATATCTATATATTTTTTTTTTTTTTTTGTATCTATATTTTTTATATTTTTTTTATTATATATGAAAAATGTGAAATTAAATATATATAATTTATTTTTATAATTATATATATATTATTATAGTATTTTCAATTATTATTTTTTTTTTATTATTATTATTTATCAATAATAAATGTTACTATCCATTTATATATAATATGTAAATATAAAAATATTATTTTTTATTAAATATTATTTTATATTTATACATAAATACTTTTTATAAAATAAATATTATTTATATTTAAATTGTTTTTTATTTAATATTTTTTTTTATTTTTTTAATAAAAATAATTATTAATATTTATTTTTTTTATAATATTAAACATAAATATTAATTATATTAATTTATATATTATTATATATTTAATATATTTATTTATGTTTATTTAATAATTTTTTATTTTTATGTCTATATTATAATTTTTACAATAAACAATATATCTTAACTATTAAAAATATTAATTCATGTTATATATATAATTAATTTTTAAAACAAGTTAATTTAAAAAAAAAATTCTTAAACTTGTTGTCTAAGTCTAATTTTATTTTTAATTGTTTAAGTTTTACTTAAAGTATTACTTAAAAATAAAAGATCCTTTCTATTTAATGATTTTTAAATCTACTTTTTTCAATTCCAGGTATTGCTTATTCTGGATTTTTAATACATTTATTTTATAGGTTTATGAATTAAAATGTCTTTTGTTACTTTTTGTAGTACTTTTCATATAAAATTTTTATAAATAAGCAAAATATTATTTTAATGTAATATTTTCTAATCAATTGTAATTATTTGGAAATGGTTTTTATCATTTTATATTTTAAATGAAACTTTTTATTATTATCTCTTTATTTAATATTTTATTTTATTCATATATATATATATATATATTTCTTTTATTCCATATCACATAAATAATTCTTATTTAAAAAATTTTCATTTTTTTTAATATAATATTTTTTTATTATTTAATAATATTAAATTATTTATTAATAATTATATTTTAAATGCAAAAAAATAATATTATAATAATTATATATTAATTTTCGAATAATCTTATACATATTAAAAATCATTTATATCTAAAATTAATCACGAATGTATAATAATTTATATTTTCCCTGAGTTTTTATATCCTTTTACTAAATCTATATCATTCTATAACTTAAAAACATTAATTTCAAATATTTTAAATAAATAAACAAAATAATCATATTTCATATGAATAAATATAAATAAAAAAAGTATAAAAAATATATTAAATAATTCAAAAATTTGAAATTATTATAAAAGTTAAACTTTTTTTTTTTTTGTTAAAAAAAAAAAAAAAAAACACAAAAAATATGATATAAATAAACTATTAATTTAATTTTTTTTATACAAAATTTTCACAAAAAAAAATAGAAATTATAAAATAATAATAATATGACAAAAAATAATAATAATATTATTTAAATATATTATTAAAGTATATTTTAATAAAATATAATACTTTTAATAAAAGAATATAATTAAATTTAATTAAAAAGGAAAATAAAAAAATGTTCAAAGCATTATTATTTACATTTTCATTATTTTCATTAACACTATTATATTACTTATTTTAAAAACACTTAATTTCTTACTAAAATGAAACTCATCATTATTAAATAGAAAATAAACACATTCGTTTATCTGGAATTCCTTTTAATTTTACAAATTGTGGTTCTGAAAGTGACCCTTTAATAGTAACTTCAATAATATTTTCAAGTTTTCCTTAAAAAGGTGCTCCACCCAATATAGTATTAGTGGTAATAATAATAATAATAAAAAAATAAAAAAAATTATTTAATATAAACAGACAGGATCATTAATGTTGCACGAAGAATTTCAAAATTTCGCTGTTGTAGTGAAATATCAAGGAGTATAAGTATTTACCAAAAATATACCTTTTAAAGGAACTTACGATCCTGGTGATATTGCGTAATTTAAATATTCTTTTTCGATTCCAGGAATAGCACCAACAGGAAGTTATGCAATTTAATTTAGATTTATAAATAAAAAAAGTGAGCCATCTTCTTGTACAGAAGTTAAGATGGATTTATGAAAGAAAATATAACAAATTATATAGTAATAATAAGAAAAATAATAATTTGATGTTTTTAATTTGTAATTTGATAAATAAAATATATAATTTTCTGTAAAATATATATATTTTTTTTTTTTTTTTTTCTTATTTTTAATTAATGAATAAAAAATTAATGTTTTTTTGTTTTTTGTTAATATATATATATAATAAAAGTTACTTTGATTTATTTTTTAATTATATATTTTATTTTATTTTATTTTATTTTCTTTTATTTTTATTTTCTTTTATTTTTATTTTATTTTCATATTTTTTTATTTTTATAATTTATAAAATGTTTTTTCAATGAATTTATTTATGAATATAAAAAATATTAAATCTTTAAGTTAGTTTTTAAAAAAAAGTTTACATTTAATTATATAAAGAATATCATTTATTTTTTTATAAAAATAATATTTTTAATAGTATAATTTCCTATATAAACAGAAAATTAATATAATTAAAAAAAAAAAACGAGTACTTTTTATAGATTTTATATTAATTATATTATTTTTTTAGTTTTCATATATATTAAAAAAAATATATTTTTAAATTTATATATATATATATATATGTATTTATATATAATATATATTATTGTATTAATATTTAAAAAAAATAAAAATTAAAAATAATAATTTACATTTTAAATAATGGATTTAATTTAGAAAAATAAAACAAGATAATTTAATTATTGTCAAATTAATAGTTTAGAAACTTTAAATAAAAAAATCTGCTTAAATGAATAATATTCACTCGATAATTAGTTTTTGATAAAATGTGGAATTATAAGCAAATCTTTAAATATAAATGAAGAATGTTAATTAGAATCTCCAGATATAAAAAATTATTTTTCCTTTAAAAATATTTTTAATAATTAAGAATTGGAAAAATAAATTTATGTGGTTTAAAAATAGAGTAATTAAAATTAAAAAACAATTGATCTTTAAAATTAATAATATAATTTTGATATTTAGTTTGAAAAATAATAGGATTTTATTATTTCTGAAACTATAAACCAAAATTATGAATAAGAAGATCATTAAAATAGTATCAAATTAATTGAATATGGAATTCTGAATTGAAATATATGTTTTAAATAATAATATAAGAAAAATTATTTATTTAAAAAAGGAAAAAATAAATACTTACTTTTTTCATTTTTATATAAATATTTTTTTTTATATTTTATATGTAAATTATATTTTTTGATAGATTTTTATATTATATATATTAAATTGTCTAAAAATATTTACTTTTATAATAATTTAATATTTTTGTTTTGTTTTGTTTTTAATTTATTTTTTGAAAAAATTAATCAATTTTTATATTTTATTATTAAATGACAAAAATATTTTCTAAATAAATATTATTATTATAGTATTAATCTAATAAAAATATAAAAATAATTATAAATTTTCATAATTTTGATTTTAAAATAGTATTATTTGAAAAAAATAAAAATATAAATAACAAAATAATTCAATAAAAATTAAAATAAATATAAAATTAAAAAAATATATAATTAAAACTACTATTTTAATTAAAAAAAAATTATTTGATACATTTATTAATACTTTTATATTTATCTTACATTTATAAGATATATATAAATTATATATTTAAAATAATATGTATAATTATCTATAGTTTAAAAATAGCACTTCATTTAAAAAAAAGCAAAATAATTTATACTTGAAGAAATATGAAAATAAAATAGTTATAAAAATGAAAAATTATATTGATTTTGATAAAATATTTTTTATTAAAAATGATAATTTAAAACAATATATAAATAAAAATTTTACATTAAATAAAATAAAAAATAAGGAAAATAATAAAAATATTTTATGAAATATATTAATTTTAAAAAGAATATAATTAAAAAAAATAAATATATAAATATATTTTATTTTATTTATATTGTATATTTATATTTATATTTATATTTATATTTATATTTTTATACATATTCACAATTCTTTTCTTTCTTAATTAATATTTTAGTTTTTTATTTTATTTTAAAAATATTGCCCACTTTTATTTAATTATTTTTGTACCTCTTTTACATTATTTTTTTTTTAAAAAAAAAAAATATTAATAACTATATTTTTTTATTTATCATTTATTTATATTTTTTATATTAGATAAATAATTTTTTTTTTAATTTTTCATCCATTTATTTTTATTACTTTTTAATATTATTTTCCATAATTTTTTTTAATTTTATATCTTTAAATAAAATTTACAGAATTATTATTTTTAATATTTTTTTAAATTTTATATTTTTATTTATCAAAATAAATTTGTAAATTTTCATTTTTTTTATTTTATTTTTTAATATAAAATAAATTATTTATAATATTTAAAATAATACATAATTTATTTGTTATACAAAATGATATTTATTATTATTATTTATCTTAATTAATTTTTATTATTTATATTTTATTTTTGTTTATATTTTATTTTTAAAACAGTTGATTTAAATTATTTAAATTCATGTTTAATAAAAATTCGTTAAGTTTTTATTTTATTTTAAATTAAAAAATATAGTTATTTATTATCTTTTTATAATTTATATATGTATTTCTATTTAATCTAAAATTATAAATTATTTGCAATTATTTTTAATGTATAATACGTTTTTCAAAATTGTCTATTTTTTACTTTATTTTATAAAATATTAATAATATTTAAATTAATTTTATTTTTAATTAATTATAATAACATTTTGATATTTTAATTATTTAATATAAATTTATAAAGTGTCTATAAATTTTTTTACTTGTTTTTTTTTAATTTAAATGCACAAAAATTAAACCAAAAATTTTAATAAAAAATAAATAATTAAAAAAATTAAAAAAATGAATCCTCTAAATAACCCCTAAAAATAACATAAAATAACACTAAAAACATACAAATGATTAATACAGAAATTAATTAATATACCAATAATTTATTCTATAATAAATAATAATTAATTTAAAATTTTGAAAACTAATAAAATTTAGAAGATTAATAATCTACAATTTCTACCACTTTTGCCTCTGAATAAGAAGTTAACTTAGGTAATATTGTAGAAGAGATTTTAAAAGATAAACAATTATAAAAATAAAGAGTTCATATAAGAAGATATATTTCTAAAAATTAACAATAAAACATGAAAAACAAAAGATGGAACAAATAGGAAATTTAATAATTATTTGATTTATTAAAGCTATATGGAACTAATTTTGATTTTATTTCGAAATTCTTAATCACTAAAACTAGATAATAAATTTTTAATTAATTTAAGAGATTAGATAAAAAAAATTCTTTATTTATTGATAATTTGTTAAAGTGTTGAAAATTCTAAATTTTTATTAGTTATTAAAATAATATATATAAATGTAATTATTTATTTTTTAAATTTATATTTTAATTAATAAGGAAAATAATATTATTTTTAAAATTATAAAAAGAATTATTTTATTATATATTTAAATTTTTAATAAATTATCAATAAATTTTAATGTTTTTTTTTTTTTTTTTAATAAAAAAAAATGTATACATTGCATACCAATTCACCATATAAATATAAATATTCTATAAATTAGTAATATTGTAATCTAATTATAATATTTCTTTTAAAAAAACTTTTCATTTAGCCTTTTATTAAAATTCAGAAAACAAAAAAATATATATGAAAAAAAAGAAAGGCCAAAAAAAAAAATTAAATTATAATATATATAATGTAATTAATTAAGCAATACTTTATTAAAGACATGCTTTTCTATTATTTAAATTAAAAGTATTCATTAACTTTCTAAAGAAAAGCTCTAATTTTAAGTACAACTTTAAGATTTAATATTACAATCTATAAAAGTAATCAATTCTAATTTATGTTAAACATCATTTTCATACATAAGAAAATAATACAGTCCTATAATATTTAAATACTAAAGAAATTTAGTTTCATTATTAATAATTAAGTCTTTACAATTATAGCCTTTAAAAGATTAAATTTCATCTTCTTAAGCAAATACATCATGTACAATATATTAAGAAATATTTTTTTCGGTTTTTTTCTTAATTGTAAATGGGTGAATATTATTATTTTATGTTTAAATTAAAGCCAATACTATATAATTATTTTAATCTTAAAGTATACCTTCTTCTATAAAATATTAGATTTCGTTTTAAAAAGCAAAAGAAAGCATTTAATATTTATTAAATGTACAACCTATACTCTATATTTCTATCAAATTATATTTTTCTTATAAATAATTGGGTTTAAAATAACAACAAGGATGATCATTGTCATATTTAAGGGATATTTCATATAATAAATCTAATTTATCATAAATACCACAACAATCTTTTTCTACTATTGCTAAAAATTAAATTGCTAAAATGTTTTATTTTATATCAAAACTTAATATTTAGTCTGAATTAATTTTTTTTTTAATTTTTTTTACCAAAATAACAACAATTCATTTATTTTTTTTTTTTGATTTTTTTTGTTTTTTTTTTTGTTTTTTTTTTTTCCCTTTATTTTTTCTTGATGGTTTTTGTTTGTTTAATAAAAAAATTAAATAATATTTTCGTTTTAAAAATATAATTTAAAGTTATAAAAGAAATAGACTAAAAGTTTTAGAAAAAGAAATAAAATAAAATTAAAGATGAGTATTTTTAATAAATATTGTATATACACTTAAAAAAGTTTAAATATATTTATAAAAAAAAAAAGGAAATTATTTCACACAAAAAAAATCAAAAAAAATAATTAATAAACTCATATTATACAAACAAAGAAATTATTATAATAAAAAAAATAAAAGCATATAATCGAAATCATTTAAATAATAAAATAACCAAAAGATATTTCTTAATAATATTAATAATTATTATACTTTAATAATAATTATTATTATACTTTTAAATATCATTATTATTATACTTTTAAATATCATTATTATTATACTTTAAATATCATTATTATTCTCCTTCTTATTATTCTTATTCTAATAATTAATCTTCCTTTTATTCAAATTCAAATTATTATTAGTTATTATCTAATTATAAATCTTGAATATAATCGTCATCTACAAAATTAAACTAGAATTCATTATGGTTATTTTATTATTAAATACCTTAATCATCCTCTTCTTTTATTGGCCTCAATTTATTTAATTTATTATCGCTAATATCCTTTTTATTATTATTATTATTATTGATATCATTATTCTAATTAATAAAACATATAGACAATTTATTATTTTTCTCATTTAAATTTTCCTTTCCAAAATCTTTATTTGTAATTATATTTTTATTTTCTTCCATATTTTTTTATAAATTAGACTCACTTATATAAAAAGACGCGAATTCTTCCTAAGTATTCAATATAAGTGAATTTTATTAATTTTAAGCTAGACTATTTGACTCATTTTACTCGCTTTTTTCTTAAAAATATTCATGATTTAATATATCTTCTATTAAAATGCGATCATTTGGATTTTTCTAAAGCATTTTATTTAATAAATCTAAACTTTATTTATTTCCATTATTATAAACTTCTTAAAAATCTAATTAAATTTCACATCTTTTATTTAAATTTAAAACTTCATTTAAATTTTTTCCATAAAACAATGATTTATTAAAAAGTCTTTTTTTTATAAAAAAAAAAAAGAAAATGATATTATTTTTTTAAATAAAAAAAAATATTAATTTTTACAATAAATGAAATATCACTCCTAAACTAAATACATCACAATTAGTTTTTTATTCAGTTTTTTAATCATTTATACATTCAGGTGCACAATAACCTGGTGTACCACATTTAGTAAATAAAAAAGGATTAGAATATTCAAACTCAGCTAATCCATAGTCAACAACAACTAAATTATCAAGAATTTCTTTACTTTAAAACATTATATTTTCCGGTTTAAGATCTCTATGCATTATTGAATATTTTTTTTAATATTAAAGCACACTAATTAATTATTTTAAAAAATCTTTTATTTTATCTTAAGTAAAAATAACTCTATTTTTCTTGATTTCAGTAAGTAAAGAATTGCCTTATATAAAATCCATTACTAAATAAAAATATTAATCAGAATCATATATGCCTTAAAGTTAAATTATATGTGGATGATTATCTAAAATTCTCATTATTTAAATTTCTTTCTATAAAGCTTATAATTAAATCTATTTAATATTATAAATAAATTAATTAAAAAAAAAGTAAAAATTTATACATATGGATTTTTAGTTTAGAGTAATTATTATTTATTATAGCATTTAACTGCATAATATTATTATGTTTCTATATGTAAAATTAAAAAAACCTTAATTAATTTAAATAATATAAATATATATAAATATATAAAAATATAATTATATAAATATATAAGTATATTATATTTATTTATATATATTTATATATATTTTTAATATAATTTTATATTTAATTATATTTTTATTTTTACTTGACCATAATTTCCTTATCCTATTTTTTACTTTATTTCAAATTCATCATTAAATTTTCTTTACCAAACATATTTGCATAAATGTTCTTTTATTTTTCTAATAATAATGTTATTTGCATAAAATTAATATTCTTTTTTTTCTATCATATAATCATTTATTGGTATTTTTTTTATAATTTTAAACCCTAAGTATTCTGTTTATAATGTTTTTTAATTTTTTTTTATTTTCCATTAAATATATTCATCACTTTTTATTTCTATTATTTTATAAGGAATTTTGTCGTATGCGTTTATTGATAAAATTAACTTGTTTTCGTATATATATGCATGAAAGTTTTTACTTGTAAAAGTTTTATATCTTTTTATTTAACAATGAAATTTACATTTATTATAATTAAAATTATCATTTTAATTTTTTTATTTAAAACTATGACTTTTTTTTAAAAAAATCATTTTTAATATTGATTTTATATTTTATAAAAATAAAAATAAAAAAAATGTTTTATTGAATTTATATAATAATTTATTTTAAATTAAGAAATTTATAAATTATATATATATATATATATATATATATATATATATATATATATTTATATATATTTATATATTAATTTTATCTTGAATTTTTCTAAAATTTCAATCAATAAAAAATAATACTTATTTTTTTCTAATTACAAAAATTAATTTTTTACAAAATACAATTTAAAATAAAATAATTTATTAAATAAATACATTATTTTTTCGTTTTAATTTTTTTTTCTTTATTTTTTTTTTTAAGCAATTATTTGTTTTGCTTATTCTAATAAAATTGATTGTTATATTATATATTTTTTAAATTAAGATAATATAATTTATTTAAAATTAAATAAAACTTTGAATAAAATTTTTTAATACAGAAAAAAAAAAAAACTTAAATTTGCTAAATTATCAAATAAATAATAATAATAAAAAAATATATATATAAATTATATTTTATAAATAAATGAAAACTGTAAATAATTCAAAATTAAGTTCCTAATATAATAATTAATCTGCTTAAATGAGTAAAAAAGCAAAGCCTTCCCAAGATCAAATCCCAAACATAAATGTAACCTAATTTAACCAAAACCCCTTAAATGAGACTTATATAGAAAATTTACATAAAAAAAATCAAAAATCAAGTCTAACATATACAATAATAGACAATTTAATAGCCAAAAGAGATTTTACTTAGGAAAAAAATGTTCCTATTGACTTATTTAACCAAATAATGTAATATTTTGAGAAAAGAATAAGCGAAATCGAACAAAGATTAGAAGATAACGAATAATTAATACATTTAAGTGATAAATTAATAAACTGTAAATAATATTAAATATAGAATAATCCACAAAAGAGAAATAACAATAACTACGAAAATATAGACAATGTAAATTCATAGAATAAAAACGAAGAAACAAAAATAAAATAAAAGAATAATTATATAGAAAATCAAGAAATAACCTATTAAACAATTAAAAATTTCGAATTAGAATAAATAAATAAATTTGAAAATTTTGAAAAAAAATTAATTCATTATTTAAAAATATACAAATTGAAAATGAAAAAAGACTATCTGAATATAGCAAAAAATTAGTAAATTAAGCCTAAATTTACCTCAAATAAAATTTAAATGATTATGGAATTTTCGAAGAAAAATTTAATTAATTAAGTTAAAGCATCCTTATTAAATAAGAAGAAATTAATATAAATAAACAAGAGCTTTTAGAAAATCAGAAAAACATTAATTCCAATTTATAGAAAATTGAAAATTCATTTAATGAAACTAAATTAGATATTAAAGATATTAATAATTTAATTAAAAATATTGAAGATGATATGTTTACTATTCTTAATAATTATAAAGTTTTAACTGATAATTTTAATAAGTATTATTATATTAATGATGAAGTATAATTACTTAAATAATAATATAATGAAATTTATAAGTCTTTATAAATTTGATATTATCTATTCATATATATATTTGTATTTTTTTTTTTTTATAAAAGAAAATAAATTAACAAATATATAATTTTAAATAATATATATATAACATAAACATTATTTTTTTTATATATAGTTTTTTTTTATATATATATACATATATATATATATATATTTAATTTTTATTTATTTAGTTATTAATTATTCAAATTTAATAATTTTTTATACTCTATTAATTTGAATAAAATAAATTATATTGAAAAATAAATATATTTTATATATAAATAAACAATATATCATAAATAATTTGAAATAATAATATCACGATCATCTTCTAAAAATTATCTAAATGAATTCATTATAGAATTTTTATGACTTTTATTTTTCTTTGCATAAAAAGACAAGCTAACTTTATTTTCAGTTTTAAAATGAAATTTGAATTTTTATTATTTTTTTTTTCCTTCTTAATCGCTAGTAGAATTAAGATTAGAAACTTTACGAAATTTACTTTCTAATTATTAATTATTTTTAATTTAAATTTCTTTTTAAGAATTAGCTAATTCTATATTCAAAGCTCTTTAAAATTTACTATTAACTAAAAAAAAAGTATAATATATATTTTATATAGATATATATATATATATATATATATATATATATATATATTGCGATTACTTTTGGCTTATATTTTTTAATTTATCATATCTATTTAAGATTCAATATCTTATTTTACTATATTATCATATTGATTAGAATTATCTTCGAATTCTTAAATAATTTTTTTAATTTCGTGTTTATTTTCTTAATGGTTTTCAGCTATTTATTTAAAAATATTAACTTTTAATTATCTCTCTGTTCTTTAAGCATTTAAATCATAACATTTTTCCTTTTTTTTATATTTACTTATTAAAAAAATAAAAAATATACTCTTATAGCCTTTCTTTTAAAATTTTAATATTCAAAAATGCTTTTACGAACTTTTTTCTATTTCATTATATTTTAATAGGAAGGTATTTTCAAATTCTCAGCTAAATTTTATAAAGAACTTTATTTTAATGATTATTAACTATTTTCTTGAATATCACTACTAAAATCAGAACTTAAATGAAGTTCAGTTTATTATTCATTATAAAAGATTTTCAAAGATTTTGTATTTGAGAATAGATTTTATATTTTTTCTTAAAAATATATCTATATAGGATCTTTTTTCATATTATAATGTTCGACAACATTTGCGTAAAGCAAAATAAGTTAATTTAAAGTGTCTAAATTATATTATTCGTTAAGTTTATTTTCCAAACTTAAAATTTAAAGAAACACTTTTATATTTAAGTCTTTTTTTGATGATTTTTTTAATACTTTTTATATCATTTTTCTTTTATAATAAAAAAATAAAATTTATAAACAAAAAAAATTTATTTCTTAAGCTTTTTATTTGAAAACAAATAAATTAAATAATAAAAATATAGCGTATTTTTAATTCTAATTTAATTTTTTTTTTATTAAATCATAAAAAAAAAACTAAAAATTCAATAATTTTATTAGGGGATAATAAATGATTTTTTTAAACCAAAAAAATATTATTAAACATTATTTATAAGTGTCTTATATATAAATTAAATATTTTGTTCTTAAAATTATAGATTTATTAATAATTTTTTTATAAAAAATAATATATAAAGTAACAAAAATATAAGAATATGCATTTTTAAAATACCAAAAAAATTCAAAATAATATTGGAGTTAAAAACAAAACAAAAATTTATAAGTTATTATAATTTTTTAATTAAGTAATTATGTTAAATTGTAAAAGTAATAAATTTAATATTTTATTTTGAGAAATATCTAAATATATATTTTTTAATAATTATATTTATAAATAAATAAATATATTAAATAAACAAATAAATTATCAAAGATGAGCTATAATAATTTTATCGATGACTACCTATTTTTAAGTTTTCTATTTACAATAGGATCCCTTATATCTTCTTTCTTTTTAATTCCTGCACCTTTATCTTACTTAGTTATTTTTATAATACTTTTATCTCTATTATTAGTATTATGGGTAATATCTCATTGGGAAAAATCAGACACAAATGAATGGCTTTTATTAATTTAAGACGGAAAATAAGTAAAAGCAGGTATAGGTTTATAATGTTACAAAGGTCTTACTTAAACAGTAGTTAGATTCCCTTCCTCAATAAACAAAGTTGAATTCACAGCTGAAAATGCAACTAGAGAAATGTAAGGAATTTAAGTTAAAGGATTTGCAATTTGGGAAGTAAATAGTTATGGAGATGGTCCTTTTAATTGTTATAAATATAGTCAAGGAGGTACTGCTAATGATAATGTGAGAACCATGTGTGAATCTATTCTCAGAAATACTATTGCCAATAATTCTTTGAAGGATGTACTTACTGATAGAGATTTATTAAGGGAATAAATGAAAGGAGAAATATAAACCCAAATTAACAAATGGGGTATGTATTGTTCAACTATAGAAATTACTTAAGTCAGAATTTCTTCAAAGTCTTTATTTGAAGATATGTAAGCCGAGTATAGATAATAATAAAGATTAATCTCCTCTTAGGCTACTTAGTAAACAGATTAGATTTTAAAGGAAAAAGAATAAGAGTAGGAACTTAGAATTAATAAGATTAGAAGTGATGCGGATACATAAAAACTTTATTATTAAGGAGAAATTGAATTGAAGATTAAATAATTAGAATAGGACTACTTTAAGAAAAATATGGATTTAGATAATAGAAGAAGAGAATTAGAATTTTAACTTAAAGAAATTATTAATTTTAATAATAATATATTGGAAAAGAAAAAAATTTAATGTTAAATAGAAATTGATAATTTAAAATAAGAGAATAAATTAGAAATTCAAAAACTTGATATTAAATATGAATAGACTATGAATAATACTAATCTTAAAAAATATTTTATTGATTAAGTTGAGTCTACTTATACTAGTGTTTATTCATCTTATTATGATGGAATTCATATGCATAACTATATTGTGCCTTAAAATGAAAAAACTGGATTACCATTATTTGCTATGTTAAATGCATAGAATAATCAGAACTAATGATTTGGTTTTTTATGATATTAGGAATAAATTAAAAACAAACAAAAAATATATATATTTTTTAATTAATTTTATTTCAAAAATATGAATACTATATTTTTTAGTATATAAAAAGATATATAATAATAATACAAAGCTTAAATATTTATTTAAATTAAATTATAAAAAAAATTATTAATTATTTATTTTAATTAATATATAAATATTATAATTTTTTTTAATCATATTTTTTTTTGTTTTTTTTATAATTATCTTTTAAAAACTTAATAAATTAAAGAAATCAAAAAATTAGAATAAAATGGGATAAATACAGTCTTTTTGTTATTAATTTAGTTTTAATCAAGAAACAATATATAAAAAAATAAATAGAAAAAAAGTAATATTTTAATAAATATATTTAGCTTTTTTGAGGGATTTAAAATAAAATAAAAAATGTATATATTTTTAAGAATAAAAATAAATCATAGTACACTACTTAATTAATCAAATAAATCAGGTCCACCAATTTCCATTACTTTGTTTATAATATCGCCGATTTTCGATTTAGATTGAACCGCTTAATTTTCTAAGATTAAATATTATTTTTATAAGTTTTAAAATTTATTTTAATTATTTTGATATTCCATATCGATTTTTTACCATTAATACTTTTATTTATTTATATATTTTTTTTTTATTTAAATTCATTAAAAATATTACTTTCTCAGCTTAATATTTAGATTCTAATTTATTGTATTTATCTAGAAGAGATTTATCTGATGAATTATTTAATTAATATAAATTTTAACCTTATTAAAGTAAATTTTCAATAACATTTTGTTTTTAATCAATAACTTTTTAGAAGTTTTCTTTCATTAAATCCAGATTTTCGTTTCTTTTAATGATTTCTTATTTAGCTTATTCTAAAATATCATTCTTTTATTTTTCGAGTATTTATTTTTATTAAAAAGCTTATTTTAATTCTATTTGTAAATTTTGAATTTTCTCATTCTATTATTTAAGTTCTTTTTAATATTTCTAAAATTCATTATTTTGTTATTTTCGTGAGTCTATCTATACTTACAATTTTATATTTTATTATTATTATTAAAAATACTTGTTTTTTGTTTCCTCATATTCCTTTATTAACTCTTTATATTAATTTTCCATAAAAGATGTTTTTTCTTCATATTTATTTTTTATATTTATCATTTCGATTTATTATTAGGAATATTTTTAAAATATTTCTTCGTTTTTTAAATTTTTTTGAGCCATTTATAATTATTCTTATAAAACTTTATTTAATTCTGTTAGTTTTGAGTAGTTTTTTTTTAATTGATCACATTCTTATTTTAATATTTACATTTATTAGTCTTTGTCGATTTTTTTTAATTATAAAAATGAGCTTTTATCAGGACATTTTTCTAAATTTAATTAACAACCTTTCTTTATTTTAATATTTTTTGTTTATTTTTTTTATATATATATAAACTTGAAGATAGTAATGAATTATAATTATTTATCATAAGTGAACCAGCATTTTTTTATTATTAATTTAAAACAAGAATAAGTTTTATATTTATCTATTTATTTGTTTAATAATTATATTATGTTTATAAAAAAATATTTTTTATTTTTTTATAACAGATTCATTTAGATTTTTTATTTGTATTTCCTCATTTATTAAAAATTCGGAATTTTATGATTTCCTTTTCGAAACAATACTTATTGTATGCTTATTTTCATCTTTTTATTTTAATTTATAAAATTAATTAATTTTTTATAAATAAAACCATTTTCAATTATAATTTTTATTATACAATCAAAAGAAATTCCAAGTTTAAGCTTCTCAATAAATAAAAAACTCATGTAACAAATCAAAATATTATATTTTTTTGATAAATTTATAAATATCAAAATTTTTTGGTTTTTGTTTTTTTTTTTTTTTAAACAAAAAAAAAAATATAATTTAGTAAATATGATATTAAATTTATATGTATAAAAAAAAAACATAAATAATTAATATTGAAATAATCTAATATAGATAATATATAAAGATTTTTTTAAAAATAAACTAGTTAACAAATATAATAGATATAAATCAAATTTATATATGAAAAAAAAAAAAATATATATATTTTAATATTAAAATTTTAATTGAATATTAAATATATATATGTATATTTATAGATATATTTATTTTTATTTATATAATAAACTTTATATTTTTAATAAAATTAATATTTATATTATAAATAAAATAAAAGTTAAATATTTAATTTAATGAACTATAGAATTTATCAAATAAATAATATTAATGTTTAAATTTCAATTATAAAAATACAAATTAAAATATATATATATATATATATAAATATAAAAATACATGTATATATATATATATTTAATTAAATTATTAAAATTATTATTTTTATATCTCAATTTTTTTTTTTTTTTTTTTAAAGAAACTTTAAAATTTCTATTATAATATAAATATATGTAAAAAATAAATATTATATAAAATTAAAAAAAACACTAATTATAAATATATTTTGATTTCATGCTTTTTTTTCGCATTTATTTGCAGAATCTTAATAATAATTACTACTTGCTAAATTAGTTTAATTTATTAAACCTTTCATTGTTTCCATTTCATCTTTAAGTCCTTTTATTTTCGAAGAATATTCTTCTATAGCATCATTAGTTTACAAATATTCATCCTATATTTAATAAAAATAAATAAATTATATATTAAAAATATATATATACTTAAAGAGCACTTCTTTCGGCTGTAATATTCTCAAGTTTATCTTCATATTATTTTGAAATATTTTACAATTACATTCTTTCTTTTATTAATTCTTCAAGAACAAAAGAGTTTTTTACCATTTCATTTTCAAAAATATCTTTTTCTCTTTTTAATTATTTTTTCATGGCTTTTAAGGAATTTAAATCCTCTAATTCTTTTTACATTTTTTCATTTTCTTCTTTGTTTTATTTTTTAGCAATTTCGTATTATTTTTTTAAATTTTCTTCCTATTATTCGGCATCTTTTCTTATTTAGCAAATTTATTTATATTCTTTATCTAATTTTGAGCATTCCCTTTTTAAAAATATTACTTAATTACGGGTTTATTCAAATTAATTCTTTGATTTTACAATTTTTGCTGAAAATTCTTATAATACTTTATCACTCATATTAATCTTTTTTTTTTTTTTTTTTTTTCTTATAAATTAATTTTTGTTTTTTTTTTGTCTTTATTTTATTATTTATGAAAAAAAAAAAAAAAATTAAAAATAGAAAAAATTACCATTCATTTTATAGTATTATTAAAAATAATATTTTATATATATATATATATATATATATATTTTTATGTTGATTATATTTATATTAAAAACTTTTATTTTTTTATAAAAATCAATTTTTTTTTTTTTTACCAAAATAATCTCATAAATATTATTATATTTACTTTTTATTTAATTATAATTATTAATATTATAATTAAATATTTTTTTAAATATATAAATTATAAAATTTTATATAATCATGCAATATTAATTAATTAAAATTTATTTTTTTAAAAAAAGCAAAAATAACTTACATTTTTTTTTGTTTATTAAAATTTAAAATAAATAAATATAATATTTATAATTACTTTGTAGATAAAATATATCCACCATATAAGGAAATAAATATAATAATAATATTAATGGATTAAGATTAAAAAATAACTATAATATGTAATTTACATGAAATAATAAAAAAATTAAATTAACAAAATTAAATTTAATAATAAAAGTAAGATAAAGTCCTATAATAATTAAACGAAAAATTATTTTTTAACACATAAATATTAAACAATGTTTAAGAAAAAATACAATAAAATTTAAAAATAAACTAGGACTTATAATAAGAATAAAATAAAATAAAATAAATAATAAATGAAAATGATTAACAATATAATTAAATCTTAAATTAGAAAAGTTAATTATCAGAACAAGTATAATGTTTAAAACAATAAAATTAATAATAAAAACAACTCTATGAAGGTTCTAAAATATAAAACCAAGAGTAAAATATAATATAAATTTAATAAAATAACGCACTAAAATAGAATGAAATAACTATGTTAAATAAATAAGAATAAGAAACAAGAAAAGAAATATTATAATAATAAAAAGAATTGTAAGAAATTATATAATAAAATTAAGTCCAATAGAATGAGTAAATATAGCTTAATAAGATTAATTATAATAATATTGTTAAAGAAAAATAAAAAATGTACTTAAATTAATAAAGGTTAAAAGTTTAAGTATAAAAAATGAAAAAAGAAATTCAAAAATAACATTAAACTACTGAAAATAGTAAAAGGATTTCTAATAATAATTTATATTAAATAGAAGAAGAATGTGATAATTTAAATCAAAAATAATTTATTATAGAAATACTGCCTTAATTAGATACAAACTTTTAATAAAATAATAGTTTATAAGATTATATAAAATAATAACGAAAAAAATAAAGCCGATTTAAGTAATAACGAAATTAGTTTTATAATGTTTAAAATAATTTTATAATAAATCTTGATATTGAAAATATAATTTTCTTTAATAAGAAATATTTTTATGGTTTTTTTATTATAATAGGAGCACTGGCCATTTATTTTAAAAAAAGATTTTTCTTAAAAAAAATAAATAATTTAAAAAAAAATGAATTTATGATTTTTTTTCTTTTTATATTAAGAGTATATATTTATAAAAATAAAAAATAAATTAAATTATATAAAAATTTATAATTAAATAACTAAAACAAAAAAACATATATTTTATAAAAAAAAAAAATGCATATTTATATATATGTATATATATATATATATAATAAAAAAAATCAAAAAAAATAAATATATATATGCATATGTGTAATTATATATAATCATTAAAAACTATATATATTATTAACATTATTATTAGTATAAAAAATGCTAGTATTATTTTGAATATTCATATTATAATTAATATTATTAAAGTTAGGTGTATACGAGAAATTTCCATTAATTAACTACTTACTAAGTTTTAATTAATTATTATTATTATTGGGAAGTACTTATAAATCAACAGCTTTAACAGACTTATCATATTTACCAATATAGTTTAAACAACTAAATTAGAATCTAATTTAATTTCCTTATTTAGAGCTTTTTAAAAATTCTTTATTTATTCCTGCTTTTTACAAATCATCATAATGAACAAAAATATTAGTAGTATCTCCATCAATAACAATGAATCCATAATTTTTATTTTCATCAAAAAATTTTAAAGTACCCGCATATCTAATATTCAAAACATCAGATAATTAATTTAAATTTGAATTTGAATTTTAAGACTTTATATATGAAGCCTCTAATTATTATTAAATATCTAATTCATTTTAAGAACTATTTTAGGCTAATTATTAAGGCTATTATAATATATTATTTTAAATTTTTTAAACTAATTATTGATTATATTTAATCTAAAACGAAGGATTTAGTAAATTTAAAGGTTGTATAGAAGGTTATTATTGTTAAATATTATTTATATTTTAAGAAAATATCTATAAAGATTCGTTTGAATTTATTTCATTTTGTCTTAAACTTTGAATGCTTGTTTATATAATTTAATTATTATTTAATAAATTTTATTATGTTTAATTAATTTCAAAACTTAAATTAGTGTTTAAATTATTTTTAAAATTTAATTCTTAATTTAAAGGAGATTTATTATCATTTAATAGAAATTCAGGAATGTCATATCTAAAAGAAGGCTAAAATGGATTATATATTGCTGATTTTAATGTATCAGAAAGGGATTTTTTATGCTTTCTTTTCATTGTTTATTATTATTTTTTGTTATTATTTGATGGTGAGTCATTTAATATCTATAAATATTGTATATATAAATATAAATATAAATATAAATATAAATATAAATATAATATATAATATATATTATTATATATTATTATTTATTATCTATTTATATTATTTTTACTAAATTTTATAAATTTTATTATATTTGCTCATCTACTTAGTCTTCATTTGTTTCTATTTAATAATCTTTTAAAATCTTTTTATTTTTTAAAATTTTTATCATTTTTTTATTTTTACTTCTGTTTTTATTTTATCATCAATTTCGTTTTCTTAATTATTAATTTTTATAACATCAAAATGTGTTTCATTTTAATCTTAATAAATATTAATAGATTAATTTTCAAATCCATTATTTATAATATATGAAGTTAAATATAATTTATCCTAATCTATTTTATATATATTTATTTTTGATTTAAAAATTAAAGATATTAATTCTAAGTTAAGCTTTTTTTTTAAAAAAAAATTAATAAAAAATAATTTTAAATTTTATACTCTTTCGAAACATTTTAAACTAGGATTTTAATAAAAATCTTTTTCATTTTAAATGAACTATTCTAATTTTTTTGATATCATCTTTAAAATAAATATTAAAATATAAAATTTAATAGTTAATAATTATTTAAATTAATAAAATCTTAATAATTAAAAATTTAATTTTTTTTTTATATATAAAAAATAAATTAAATTAAATAGTAAAAAAGTTTAAAAATTGCCTGAAAATTTTTTTTTTTTTTTTTTTTTTTTACATTTTAATCTTTGAGTTATTTTAAATGCTCTATACATTTTTTTTTAAATCTATTTATAATAATTTATTGTATTAAAAACTGCTAATGATATAGTTTTCAGTAAATTATTTAAACCCTAATTTTTTTTTTAATTTTATTATTTTTTTTAAAAATAATAATATAAAAACAATATTTTATATTGATATTAAAAATTATTTATGTGTAACTAAAAAAATATTAATACATTAGGAGTTTTTATGATTTCTATATTATTATCAATAAGGACTGATATTAAATCTTAGTTTAACTCCATGTGTTATTTTAAAAATATAAACTTTTTGTTTTTATTATTATTTTAAGATATGTTTTTTATAAAAAATTAATATATTTTATTTTTAGTATTTAAAAACTAATATTATAAAAGAAAATAAAGTATTAAATATAATAATTTTATAATAAAGTATAAAATTAAAATAATTTATGATAATATATACTTTTGATTATAATTATTATTTTTTTTTAAAAAAAAAAAAAAAAAAAAAAAAAATTATAATCTTTCATTAAAAAAAAATTCATTCATCTGGTTTTTTATCTTTTGAAGAACATCCACAATTACCACCCCATCTTTCTTAAATTTTACTACAATCAAATTCTTCTTTTTTAAGACTTTTATTAACAATATTATGTAATTAGCACATATATTCCATAAAATCTTCCCTTCCTCTACCTTTAAATTAAAAATCTTTAGTATGCTCTAGGAAATGTTATGCACATTCTTTACAAGGATAAAATTAACCGCTAAAATAAATAAATATTAATAAATATAAAAAGTAAAATTATATAAAATATAAAACAAATATAAAAAATTATATTTAAATACTTACAATAATATATATAAATATATATGTATTTTATAAAATATATATAAATATTTATTTTTAAAATAAAAAAAATATATTTATATTATTAAAATCTTTAAATAATTTTTTACAATAAATTCAAAAATAAATTAGTTCTATCTACAAAATCTTTTGTAACTTCCACAGGATATGTTGCTGAAATCATATGTAATAATGTCCATCCGGCATTTCCTAATTATTCCCTGGTAATAAATTGAGAATAATGTTTTTCTGTATTTTAATTTTATAAATTATAAAATATTATTAAATTAATATAAGAATACCATATGCATTTTAATCTTTATTTTCTACATCTTTCTCGTTTTTTTCCTATTTATCTTTTTCTTTATTATCATCATCAGAATCATTTATGCTAAATGTATAAGGATCTTATCCTTTTTTATTTCCTCCCCATTCATCTGGTAATGAATGTTAAAAAAATTTATGAATTCGATTTAATTGAAGTTTATTTTAAGAAGCTTTTTCATGATTACGATCAAAATTATTTATGGTTGTTATAAAAAACAAAATTATAATAAATATAAAAGATGAGATTATTGCTAAAGTTCCTTTTTGTTTTGTCATTTTTTAAAATTTAATGAAAATATAGTATTTTCTAAGATATAAATTATTGAAAAATATTATATTATTATTTAATATATATATATATATATATATCTAATTAAAATTATTAGTATGTATATAATATATTTATTTTTTTTAACAATATTTTTTATAATAATTTTTTTATTTATATTAATTCACGTTATTTTTTATCTTAATTATAATAATTTTTTTAAATATTTTATTAAATTTATTATTGAAATCGAATGAAATAAAAATGTTTAATTTTTTTTTTTCTACATTAAATAATTTATATTTTAGATTTATTAATATTTATTTTTTTTTATGTAAAAAAAAAATATACTTAATTATTTTTTACTATATTTTAAAAAATAACTATGTTAATAATTCGTTTTTCAATAATTATATTATTAATGGCTATTAGTTGGAACAATTTTTCTTCATCTCCATAAATATAAAATTATATATTAGATTATCAGTAAATTAAAATAATTAATAAATAAATAATCACATTTCTTTTCTTTTTTTTCTTTTTTTTTTAAAAAAAAGATCTAATCTATAATCAATATAAAATTTCTTCTTCTAATATTTATATGGATAATTTAGTTTATTTAGCAATACTAAATACATAATACTATTAAAGGAAATGTTTGATAATATAGATATAGAAAATCTACTTAGTAAGTTTTTAATGGCAAGAAAAACGAATACAAAATAATAAAAATTTCCTGATTCAAATAATAATTTTGCCTCTTTGTATGGAGGAGCAACAATAATTGATAAAAATCCTGAGTCATAAAATGCTAAATATGTATTAGATGATAATTATGATAAGTTAGTTTTTTTTTTAAATATAACTTTATCTTTGTTTTATAAATATAAATAGATATATGGTTAACGAATGTAGTGTTTAAAATAAATTTATTGTTATTAGTTTAAAAGAAGATATTAATATAAGCGGTTTTTCAATAATAAATAAAGAATTTTATTCATCAAATGTCAAAAATATATTAGTAAAAAATTAAATAAAATAAATATATAAAAAAAATTAATTTAAAAGATTTATGGAAGCAATGAATATCCAGTAAAAAAATGGCTTGAATTAGGAAACAAAAAAGCTAAAAATATTAATGAATGGCAATATTTTGAATTATAACAAATGTGGGCAAGATATGTAAAATTTGAGTTTAAAAGTCATTATGATGAAGAATATTATTGCACAATAACATAAATAAAGTAAGTTTTTTTGATAAATTTAAATTATTTAATATGCTTATAAAATAAGAGTTTATGGAAGCCCAATATTGGCTGATTTTAAAAAAGATTTTATGGATTAATAAAACTAATCTGAAAAAACAAATTCAAAAAATAAAGAAGATGAATATCTGTAAAAAATAAATAAAGGAATTAATAATAGACAAAAAGATTAAACTAATTATAATTTAACGTTAGAAAAATTTAATAATACATAATTTACAAATACTAGTAATATATTAATTTAATTAAAATGAAAATAAAAATATATTAATTAACAAAAGCTAATCAAAATCCTAATTAAGTAAAATAATGGAGAAATATATTTTGGGAAACCAAAAACGATTTATTAGAATCTTTGTAATAATAATAAAAACAAGACAAAGAATCTATATTTACTTTTCTTACAAAAAATATTAAAGTAATATATTGTATTTAATATAATGTTTTTTTTTATTAATTATAAGGATATTTAATAATTTTAAGGCTTTTTTGTAAATTAATAAACGTAATAGAATTAAGAATTTAATTAATAACTAGAATAATATTAATAATAGTTAAAGTAAAATGAATAAAATTCTAATAAAATCTAAAATAAAATTTAAACAAATAGTGACAATATTGAATAGTTAGTAATAAATATTATATAAAAAATTTAATAATATATTTAAAATTAAATAAATAAGTAATAATAAATTTAATAAATGAAAGAATAATTCTATATTATATAAATAGCATTACTTATTTTAGGAATTTTTTTATTTTTATTAATATTGTTTCCTAAAAAAATAATAATATAAAGAACAGGAGGATTGCATTTAAGATGATAAATTATTAATTATAAAGTAGAAATATAAGAAAAATATTATTAATAAAATAAAAGTATAGATTTCTTAAAATTAAATTATATATTATATATTATATATTATATATTATATATTTATTTTATTTTCTTTTTTATCCATATAAATTTATTATTAATTTTTTAAAAAAATTAATTTTATTATTTTTTTATATTTATTTTATAATTATTATCTTTTTTTTATATTTTCAATATTTCTTATTATCTTTTTCTATATTTTTTTCCAGTTTTTCTTTATCATCTTCTTCTTAAATATCAATATTTTACTCTTCATTATTTTACAATTATTATTTTTTTGTTTATAATTCTTTTTATTGCTCTTCTTCTTTTTTATCTACGTCGTCTTATTTTTATTAATCCAAATAAGCTTTATAATTTGATTTCGCTTTAAATGGTCTTTCTCCTAATATTTCTGTTATTTATTTTAAATCAAGTGTTTTTTTTTTCAACAGATTATCAGATAAACTATTTTTATTATATAAAAAAAGCATATTTAATAATATACATATAAAAAAAATAAACGATTTTATCAATTCTTTATATTTTTTAACAAGTTTCCTAGTTTCAATTGTTGCCAAATCAATTAATTTTTTAACTTCTTCATCTATAATCTTTTTTTAAATTAAAATAAAACATTGGTATTAATGTAAATTAAGAATTTATAATAAAAATAATTATAAATATATAAATACTTTATTTGTATAATCAGAATAAATTTTTCTATAATCCTTATCTACAAACCCAACATTACCAATTGTCTCACTCATTCCATATTTAGTTACTAATGCAAAACTAAGCTCGTAAGCTTTTTTTAAATCATCATATGCTCCTGTAGTAATTTCTCCAAAAAACTCTTCCTCTGCTATTCTTCCCCCAAGTATAGTACATAACCTATCCATTAATTCTTAATTATTCTCTAAATTATTCTCATTTGGTAAATATTACGCAAAGCCCAAACTTCCCTTCGACCTTGGAATAATTGTTAATTTAATCAAAGGAGTTCCCCCTTCTAAAAACCAAGCCACAACTGCATGTCCTGATTCATGTACTGCCACTACATTCCTATCTTCTTCTGGCATATTTTTTTTTTTCTCCAATCCACCAATAACTCGTTCCGAAGCCATTTCAAAATCAATACTTTCAACCCATTTTTTATTCAATCTAGCTGCCAAAATAGCTGCTTCATTACATAAATTGGCTATATCAGCACCACTAAAACCCGGAGTTAATGTCGCTAGTCTTTTAGCGTATTCTTCTCTACTTTTATTTGGCTAAACTTTAATATCTTTCAAGTGTACCATGAAAATTTACTATCTTCCGTCTATATCAGGGTTTGTTATTTCTATACTTCTGTCAAATCTACCCGGTCTTAATAACGCTGGATCTAATAATTCCTTTCTATTAGTTGCTCCTATTATAATTACTGAAGAACTAGTATCAAATCCATCCATTTCTACCAAAAGTTAATTCAAAGTATTATCTCTTTCATCATTTCCTCCTTATTTGTTCTCCCTTTTTCTACCTATAGCATCGATTTCATCAATAAAAATTATCGCAGGTTACTTTGCCTTTGCCTATTTGAATAAATCTCTTACCCTAGCTGCACCTACACCGACAAACATTTCCACAAAATCAGACCCTGAGACATAAAAAAATGGCACTCCAGCTTCCCCAGCACATGCTTTTGCTAAAAGAGTCTTTCCAGTCCCCGGAGGTCCATATAAGAGAGCCCCTTTAGGTAATTTTGCCCCTAAATCTTTATATTTCTTCGGTTTTTTTAAAAAATCGACAAATTCTTATATTTCTTATTTGGCCTCATCTTAGCCGGCTACATCTTTAAAAGATACATTTATTTTAGTGTCTGTCCCGTATACTTTTACGTTAGATTTTGTCATTCCGAATATATTTTGCATTGCTCCTCCTTAGAATTTAAGAATTTTTGTTAGATTTTTTTTTAAATGGAAAAGGAAAACAATAAGACCGCAAGTTAAAAATAATTATATACTTTAAGTTGTAGGCTCTATTTGTCTCTAATCCATATTTATTTTATATTAGAAAGTTATTGGGATGTATTATTCTTATGGAATTCCATTTTTTATTTAATATTCTTCTATTTCTTCCAAAAATTAGTCTATATCAGATACTGTGGTTAAATAAAAATCACCTGATTTTGTTTTGATACGAATTTCGTTTATTTCTGTGTTTTATAAATATACTCGGTCTATTTATAACTATGAAACTTAATTTTCTTTTAGTAGTTTTGTATAAAATTCCTTTTTTATTTATATTTTTTTTTTTAAATTTTTATACTGATAATGATATTTTATTAGGTTCATTTTTAAAAAATAAATATAAAGCTATAGCTCCTATACCTATGCCTAATACGTATTTCAAATTATTATTTCTTGGATTTTTTTAATTTAGGAATTAGCCATATTTCTTTTTATATTACTCATATTCATCTTATATTTATTATTCGTAAACTTTTTTTTAATTTTTCATAAATAAATTAATAAGTATTTATATTTATTTTTTTACAATTTTATTTTTTTGGTTATTCTTCATTTTCGTTTTCTTCTTATTTTTCTTTGATATTTTCTTCATTTTTTTAATCTTATTTTTTTTTTTATTCACCTTCATTATTTTATTTATTAGAATCTTATTATAACTTACTTTTATTAAGTTCTTGTAATTTTTATACTTCCTTCTATTTTAAAAGTTTCTTGACGTATTCTCGTCCATTTTTTGAAGGTTTTTAGGAATCTTCTTGCTCTTAATTTTCTTCTATTTTTTCATTTTCTAATACTTTTTTTTATATTCTTTATTCTTAATTTTATTCTTCTTTTATTTTTTCGTATTTTTCATTATTTTTATTTTCTGGATTTTCTTCACTTTATTATATTGGTTGTTTTTCTTTTTCTTTATTTCCTTTTTTTTTCCTTTCGAATTTGCTAAATCCTTTTTTCTTTCTTTTTTTTAATTTTTTTAATTTATTTTACCTTCAGGAATATTCGAAAAATTAAAAATAAGGCTTTTTTATAGCTTTATGTTTTTTAGTTAATTTATAAATAGTTTTCCAATATTCTTAGATAACATTTTTTGTTTTATATATATATATATAATTATATATTAGATAGATTTTTTTATTTTAAAAAAAAAAAAAAAGGAATACCTTTTTTCTAGAAAAGTAAAATTAATTTATTTTAATTTAATATTATATATAGTTTAATAAAAACATTATTTTTTATATATTAAATAAAAAATTATAAATATAATATTTACCAGTAAAAAATAAATAAAATATAAAATACATTAATAAAAAAATAATGTCTTAATAAGTATAAGATTATTTAATTTAACTCTATCCCCAGTACCAAGAAAAAATCTTAGAATTCGAAGATTTTAAACAGATATTAACTTAAATGGGCGTTATATATCCACTTTGTGATTTTGATCCATAAACAATTGAAGAACTATACACATATGTTCAATAAAAATAAGGAAATAAAGTAACATATGAAGCATTATTAGGATTAACAATAAATATATTACGAGCTAGGACAAGTTTAAGCTTATAAAGCGATATGAATGATTAACAAAAAGCGATATATGAGGAAATACATGAATATATAGATAGCATAAGTCCTGAAATAATGGATTAAATGAAACATATATATGAAATTTGTAATAAAAAAGGTAAAAAACAAATACAAGAAATCGAATAATAAACAAAAGAAATGTAAAATCTAAACTAGAATGAAAAAGAGGAAATAAATTTGCTTTTTAATTGCCTAAAAGATAAAATGAAATAAACAATAGAACCAGAAATATTCGGAAATTTTACAATTTTATTAGAAAAATATTGGCTAAAAGATATAAATATATATGAAATAAAAACTGATAATGAAAAAAATACATAATAAATATAAAAAAATACCGAATAAAAAACTAAAAAATAAAGCTTAGATAATAATAAATATGATTTATAAGAAAAATTTTATAAATATGACTATATGTAAGATTTGTTATAAAAATTATATTTCTTTAAATAAATTAAATCACAAACTAAATAATATTATGATAATTTAACTGAAATATTTAATATTTCGTAAATCATATGTGCTAAACTAGATGCTTATGAAAGTGAAATTACAGAAATATAATTACAAAAACAAAAATAATATGAAGAAAAACTTGATTTAGAATAACATATAATCTATTTGGAAAACGAAATAAAAAAAATGAATTTACATAGGGAAGATTTAGAAGAATAAATGGAAAATTTAATTAATTAAAATGAACTTTTGGAAGAAAAAAATTCCTTTTTATATAATAAATAGAATGATTTATTAAAAAAAATTGAAGAAGAAAAATAAAACAAAATTGAATTAATGCATTTAAATAAATAATATGTAAATCTATAACAAAAATATGAGAATTTAAATAAAGAATACTAATAAAAAAAAATAGAAAGTGATAAAATGTTTGAACTATTTTAAAAAGAAGAAGAAACTTCTCTATCATAAAAACTAGAAATAAATAGTAAAAAAAAAGAAATTTAAGAAATATAATAAACTAATTAATATTTAATTTAAACATTAAAAGACGAATAAAAAAACTTAAAAATGTAAATTAACAATTTATAAGAATAAATAAATCAAATTTAAAATGAAAATAAAGAAAAAGATCAAAAATATAATTTTTTATAGTAAGAAAATTAAATTTTATAATAAAAAAATGAAATATTAATCATAGATAATAAAAAAAGAAATATGTAAAACAATATTAAATAAAGTAATTTTTCTTAAAATAATATAAATAGAATTTCATTTAATAGATATTCTTTACTTCCTTTAAATAAATTATTTAATGAAAAAAAAAAAAAAAATTAAATATAAACAAATGATAAAATAGATTCATAAATTTTCAACTGTTCTATACGAAGTTCTATAGATATTAATAATAACTATATCTAAGAATAATAATAATAATAATAATAATAATAATAAAAATAATAATAATAATAATACTTTATTATTTAAAGTATTAATTTACATGAATTTTAATAATAAATAAAATTTAATTCCAAATTAATTTTTGATAAATTTTGGGATTAATATGAAAATTAAAATTCATTTATATAATAAAGCAATTCAAGATTATCTTCATTTAAAAACTTTAATGAAAATAAAAAAAATGTTAATAAAAATTCTGAACTTTAATATTTTTAAAATTTTACAGTATTTGATGAGAATAAGCTTTATTAATTTGATTTTCTAGGACTTTCAGATAATGAAAAAATACTCTAAACAGTATAAAAATAAAATTAAGAAATAAAAGAAGATTATTTAATACATGAAAAAATGTGTTTTTCAGATTCTATTTTTCGCATTAATAGTAAAAAGTAAAAGAATAGATGTATTTTATTTTCAAACTAGTATAAAATATTTATTTTTCAAACTAATTTTAAACTCTATAAATCTTTTTCTATCACTAATATTTCTAAAATAACCTTTTTAAACAAATTTGCCCTTCTTTTTATAATTACTCTACAAAATGATGAAAATATTTTAATAGAATCATATAGAAGATAAGATTTTAATTTTTTTTTAATAAAAAGTCTTAAAATGAGAAAAATTCCACTTTATAAAATCTAATTCTAAGATGATTTGGTAATTTAATTCAAAGGTTAGAAAGAAAAATAAAGCTTTTAGGGTTAAATTAGCGAAAAAATTGCCCTAAATAGATTTTAAGGATGTTTTAGGAGTGCTTTTATGACTGGATGTATGGAAATATATAACTAAAATAACAGCCTATTCAAAGATTGGAAAGAGTTTTTGTTTGTTTTATGCAATATAGGGCTAATTTCATTCCAAAAAAATTTAGATTCAAAACCGTTGCTTTTTATCCCTTTAACAGACGCGATTGTTTTAAAAGATCCTTAAGAAACTGAAAAAGGATTTTCTATTAAAATTTTTTATTCGAATTCTTAATAGTAATATTTATTAGGATGCAAAAGTAAGGCAGATTAAGATTAATGGTTTGAGAAAATTAGAAAAGTGATCTATAATGAAATTAATTTAGTGTTTAAAAAGGAATAAATGCTAAAGAAAAAATTTTAACTTTTAGATAATGATATTTAAGAATAAGATAATGAAGATGAATAATCGATTTATTGAAATTATATTTTTTGAATTGATTATTATTTTATTTATTTATATATATATTTTTATTTTATTTTGCCTTTTATTTTTAAAATAAAACATAGATATTTTTTTATCTATTATAAAAGATAAAATTATATACATATATATTTATATATATATATATATATATATATATATAATTTAAATATTCTTTTTAAATATATATAATTTATTTAATATATCTTATTAATTAAATTTATAAATACTCATATATTTTTCTTTCACTATATTATACATAAATAAATATAATTTATAATCTCAAATTTTAATTAAAAGAAAAATATTATTTTAAAAAAAATACAATTTAGATAATTAAATTCTTTTTCACACAAAAGTTTATAATAAAAGAACCAATAAATTTTATTTGAATAAGACAAACATAATAGCTTTAAAGTTATTAGAATGATTTAGATTAAATATAAAAGTTTTCAACACAAAGATATTTTATGTTATAATTAAAAAAAAAAAATTAAGATTAATAATTATCAATTAATGATAATAAATTTTTATTTTGACATAAATACATATAATCCAAGTATATAGTAAATATATTGTCGATAAATAAAATAATAAAAAATATGGATTTTACAAATTATATAATTCAAATGAATGTTTTGATAAAAATAATTTATAACACAGATTCTAATTTAATTTTTTTTTACTTTTAATAGAAATTTATTTTTCACTTTTCTTATTTATAAATAATATTTTTTTATTGTAATTATTATTGAAAATAAAATATGTACTTTTCATATATTATAACTACAAAATAAAATATATTATTTATATAAATTTAATATATTTTTATGATTTTTTTTTTATTTTCTTTATTATTTATTTATTTTTAATAATAAAAATTTAAATTTTCTAAAAAGTAAATAATTTTAAATTCTAAAAAATAATTATTTTAAGTATTATTTTTTTTATATAAAATAATATATATTTATAATTTATTTATTTAAAATAAAACTAAAATATGCTTTAATAAATTTAAGATTTATATGATGATAAATCTGATATATTATTTAATAAAGTATAAAAAAAATTCATTTAAATTGAAATAAACACTTTATAATTAAAAGATTAAATAGATATATTTTTGAAAAATTTAGAAAAAATTAAAAGAGAAGCTTTTTCAAAAGTGAAATATATAATTTTAGATAATTCTCCATAAACAAATATTAGTAATATAAAATTATTAAACATAGATGGAAATACAAACATTTTCGAATTAATAAATGAAATATCGTAATTTAACTTTGAAATAATAGAGAAAAAAATAAATACATTTTTAGAAATAACATAAAATATAATTAACAAAACCCAAAAAAAAATTGATAATTTAATTTCTTTTACAAATAAAAAACATATTTTTAAATCAGCATATGATATAATAAATAAAGACCTTAAAAATATAGACTAAATATGGTTACATAATGAAGGAATTACTTTTATGAGAAATTTTAATTATATTTTTAAAAAAGGAACTAGAAAGTAATAAAAATAATTATTTTTATATTAATTTAAAAAAAAAGTCAATTTAATTAAATTAATACTAATTTTACAAGAGATCTTATTATTGAGAATGAAAAAAGAAGAGATGCCTAATATACTATTAGAGATATTAAAAATACTTTAAAATCTTATTCTTATACACCTACTTATTTAGAAATTAGATTACCTTAGTAATTATATTTTTTTGTAAATATAATATAAAAAATATATAGATTAGAAGAAATTAAAGAAAAAAATTATACAAAAATGTTCTAATATTTAAAACCTTTTATTAATTTAAATGAATTATATTTAGATTTTTCAAGGTTTTTATTTAAAATAATTAACTATGCTTTATTTATTTTAAAAAAAAATAGTTGGCAATTTTCATTCTTCGAAGATTAAAATAAATATATTTGTAATTTAGCAGAAACTGTAAAAAACTTTCCTGGCTTACAAGTTTTGCATTTAAATATATCTAAAATGCAAATTGATATGTAAGAAATTATAAATGTAAGTGATGAATCTATTGAAAAAATAAGTTAAATGATTAAAAGTTTATAATTATTAGTTGATCTTGAATTAAATTTAGAAAGGTTTAGTTTTATATAATTTTAAATAAAAAAAAAAAAATTATAATGTAAAGAATTCAAGGTCAATTAACTACTGAAGGATTATGTTAATTAATTTAATGCATAATTTAAAAAAATAAAATAAAAAAACTTTCTTTAAATTTTAATGAGTAAAATAAAAAATATATAAAATAAATATATTATATATTGAAATAAATATGTATAATATATATATTTATATATATATATATTTATATTTATTTTTATAAAAAAAGATGGTGTAATTTAAATTCAAATGTAGATAGTTATGATTGTATGATTTCATTATGTAAAATGATTGATTCTTTAAAAAACCTGACATCTTTAAGCTTGAATTTGACATCGTATTTCAACTTTTTATAATGAAAAATTTTTTTCTAAAAATAATAATAGATTTGGATTCTAATATTAATATTTAGAAAATTCAATAATTTCTCATACTAATATTTAGGAGCTTTCAATAGAATGTTAAGTGTTTTTTTTATTTATTTTAACTCAAATATAATTTCTTTATATTTAAGACTTTCAGAAGATGATTATTCATATGATGATATGTTAAGAAATATAATTAAAAACAAATATTTTTTACTTTGTGATTTTAATTCTTAATTAAGGTTTTATTTTTATTTTAATTTAATCAAATCATAATATTTTTTATATAATTTGTAAGTATAAATGTTTTTTATGAAAACCCATTTTAATATTTAGAAAATATGTTAAGATAAAAAGCAATAAAATATAAATAATGCTTAACTAAATTAAAATGTTTATAATGGTTTTATGATTAAAATATACGAAAAGAAATAATATGGGATGTTTTAAAATATACAACTATTTGAATTTATATTATTGAATTTAAGTATTTATATAATATATACTAATATTAAATAAAAATTAATTAAGATAATAAAAATTATATTATATATAATATATTAATAAATAAATAATAAATTTAAAATTAATAATAAATTATATATAAATTTTTTATAATTAATTAAGAGAAAAAATAATATTTTCTTTTAATATAATTAAATAAAATAATTTTTTTTTTCTTATTTAATTGCTATTTTATATTTTAATAAACCATAAAAAATAGAAAAATAATTATATATATTCAAAATTTATAATAATAACTAAAATCAAAGGACTAAATAATTTTTTATCTATTTTCAACTTATAAATTTTAAATAAAAACAAAAAATAATACTAAATAAATAAATCAAATTGGGAGAAAAAAAATAAAAACTTAAAAAAAAAAAAAAAAAAAACCAAAAATAAAAAAATGGGATAAAAAAACACTAAGCCAAACCAAAAGAGAAACGATAAACAAAAGGAAAGAATAAAACAGTAAATATTAGAAGAATAAAAAAACAACAACATTCAAATAACAGATATTAATAATTTCAATATTTCCGGTTAGGAATTAGTAGTAGAGAAATACGGAAAAATACAACAAGAATATACTCTTTATAATGTTCCTTTAGGAAAAGGAGCCTTCGGAGAAGTACGAAAAGCCACCCACAAAAAAACTGGTCTTCAAAGAGCTGTAAAGATTATATCTAAATTCGAATGTCCTGCTGAAGAATAAGCTCGTTTAATAGAAGAAGTTAAGATATTAAAGACTTTAGTAAACTAAAAATAATTTATATATATATATATATATATTATTATTTTTTCTGAAAAAATTAATAATTAGGATCACCCTAATATAATAAAAGTATATGAATTTTACTAAGACTAAAGATTTTTATACATAGTGACAGATTTATGTACTGGAGGTGAATTATTTGACAAAATAATCGAACTACAACATTTCGGTGAAAAAGATGCAGCCGAAACTATGTATTAAATATTAAATGCTGTAAATTATTTACACAAAAACAAAATCGTGCACCGAGATTTAAAACCAGAAAACATATTATATGACTCTAAAACAAAAGATTCTATTATGAAAATGGTCGATTTTGGTACTTCTACATCATTTGATCCGTCTAAAAAAATGAATTAAAAACTCGGAACACCTTATTATATTGCTCCTGAAGTTCTCAATAAATAATATGATGAAAAATGTGATATATGGAGTTGTGGAGTTATTATGTATATTATATTATGTGGTTATCCACCCTTTAATGCCTAAAGTGATGCTGATATTATGAATAAAGTTAAAATTGGTAAATTCTCATTCCCTGTTGAAGAATGGAAATATATAAGCAATGAAGTAAATTTTTATTTAATTTTTTTTTAAATTTTTTTTTTTATTTTATTTTAAAAAAAAGGCTAAATTATTAATATAAAATATGTTATAATTGGATCCTTAAAAGAGAGTTTCTGCAGAATAAGCATTATTAGATCCTTGGATATAGAAATTTAGAAATAAAAATGATGTCGATGTCCCTAATTTGATAAAATCATTAAATAATATGCGTACATTCAGAGCTGGAAAGAAACTCTAAGAAGCCACTTGGATGTTTATAGTCAATTATTTGGCTTCAAAAGAAGAAAAAACTGAACTTTTAAAAACTTTCCAACAACTAGACACAAATGGAGATGGCAAATTATCAAAATAAGAATTAATAGATGGTTATGCGAAAATATTACCGCCAGAAACTGCCGAAAAAGAGGTTGAAAAGATCATGAAAATAATCGATAAAAACGCAAATGGGGACATTGATTATTCAGAATGGGTAGCCGCGACAATTTCAAGAGAATAATTATTATCTAAATAAAGATTAGAGATTACTTTTTCACTTTTTGATAAAGACGGAAGTGGAAGTCTACAAATAGACGAATTAAAAGAAATTTTCGGAGGAAATAAGATCATTTCGGAAGAAGTTTGGAAAGAAGTAATTTAAGAAGTAGATAAAAATGGTGATGGGGAAATTTCTTATATTGAATTTAAAGAAATGATGCTTAAATTAGTAGACATGGAAGACAATATTGATAATAATTGATTATTTTTATTTATTTTTTCATATTATTTTTTTTTATTAGAACTAAAATTTATAACCTACTTAGTTTTTCTATATCATATTATCAAATAATATTCCTATTAAAGCTCCATTTTATATATTTACGCATTTTTTTGTTTGTTTTAATAAATTCCAATCTTACTATTGTTCATTTTCTTTATAAAAAGTTCCATTTTAACTCATATTCATTAAAAAAAAAGTAAGTAAATCATTATTTTGTGACTTTTATACTCCTAATGCAGCTTAATATCTTGAAATTCGATTAAAAATTTTCTAATTATCTTTTTTTGGTCTTCCTATAATTGTTATTACTGACTTTTATTCTAAATTTTTATAATTTTCATATTCTTCTTAATCTTAATAAATTATTAAAATAAACTTGGGAAAAAAAAAATTTGGATTAAATTATTATTTTAGGTTTTAATCATAAAAACATTCAAATTAAACTTTTGCAATATAAAAAGGTTTTAAATTATTTATTTTTTAATCTAAATTTGTAAATTTAGATAACAAAAATTTAAAACTAACATTTTATATATCAATTTCTTCTTCAATTTATAAAATATAAAAACCAGATTCTTCGCAAATATTTTTTTCGTGATTATCTATTAAATTTTAGTAATCTTCTTCTTCTAAATAATACTAATTGCTAGTTTATTTTTTATCATTTTTAGGAATATTTTAAATTTATTTTATTTCTTGACATTAAATGTGATCATTCAAAAATAAAGATATATTATTTTTATAAAAAACTAGTTTAATTTAGCTTAATAAAGGTAAAAGTTCATCTTTTAATTTATTAAAAATAAAATATTTATTAAAATTAAAATAATCGAAAATAGAATTTGTATCTTGTTTAGAAATAAATACTTCTTTTAAATTAGAAAATTATAATTTAAGAATATTATTTAAGTGTATTTCTATATTTTTGCCATTTTCATTTAATAATTAGCACAAAAAAAAAAATCATTTGATAAATTTATATTGGAATTTTTAAAAAATAATTATAATGGATAAACTTTTTATTATATAATTAAATCATTAAAAAATTATTATTAATAATCATTTTCAAAATTATTATTATCAATATTAAATTTCAAATCAATACTATTATAATTATTATTAATGGTATTATTTTATTATTTTTATTATTTTTATTATTTATTATTATTATTATTATTATTATTATTATTATTATTATTATTATTATTATTATGAACAATTTAATTAAAATATTTTATTATTTTTTCAAATTCAATTTTTTAAAATAATTATTTTTATGTTTAGCTTTAAATTTCATTTTCTTGTTTTAATTATATTGTTTGTATACTATTATCTTCTGAATTAAACAATTTTATTTTTTATTATTCTCTTTTTTATTAGTACTTTTCTATTATTTTTTTAATATCATTATTTTTTTAACAAATTTTCTATTACATATCATTGTAATATTTTATATTAAAAATTTTTAATTTATCTTTTAAGCATGATTAATTTAACAATTAATAAATTTCATCTATAATTTATTTATAGCATATTAATTCATCTGTTTAAGATATATTAAATATATTATTTTTTAAAAAAAATTGTATTTATTTTATAATATTTATTGTTTCCATTTTTTTATTTATTTTTAATTTTAATTATTGTAATTTCGTTTAATAAGAAACTAATATATCAATTATTTTTATATAATTATTTACTTTGCTAACAAAAATTGTAAATTTTTAATTTAAAATAAATTATAATTATTTAAATTTAATTGTATTTTTTAATTATTGTTTATTTTATTTTTAAAGCAAAAATTAAAAGATTTATTATTTTTTAATAAAAATTTTCTTTGCTTACAAATTTATAATTTTTATTTTAAAATTTTATATAAATTTTTTATTTTATACTAAAGATTATAAAAATAAAAATAATATAATAACTAAAGAAATAAATTTTTATTTAAAAATGAAATATTTACAATTATATGTTTCGATATAAATTTTTAATTTAATAATATTTTATTATTTTTAATACATAATATAAAATAATAATAATTATTAATTAATTAAATTTATTTTTTTAATATTTTTTTTATTTTAAATCATTATATTAAATTTTTTTTCTATTTAATTTTCATTTTGAAAATAAAATAATTTTTTATTATTAAAACAAAGTATTTATATAAATAAATAATACATATTTCTTTAATAATATGATTCTAAATAATATATAAAATAAAATGAAAATAATATATATATTAATTTTTTTAATTAAATTTATAAAATAAAATAATTCTTGTATTCTAAATTCTGATTGTAAAACAAATTGTTGTCTAAAAAATATATGTTAACATAAAGAAGATTGCAATTATACTTAAATTAAGGAAACGTGTATGTCTAGTAAATGTGAATATAATTGTTGTGCTTCTTAAATTGAATGTGGAAATTAAAATTTTTGCATTTCTTATTAAAAAGATAAATTTATTTAATATTTAATAGGAATTACAATCGGGTTTATTTTTTCAATATCGATTGTGTATTTAACATATAAATATTTTTAGAAATTAGCAGTTGATTGTACTTTAATATTAAATTATTTTTTTGGAATATTAAAAAAAAAAAAATATTTTATAAAAAAGACAAATGTGAAATATATAATTAAGAATATAAAAATAAATTAAAAATTTCTAAAGTAATTGACGAAATTTTATAAAATGAATATAAAGAAAAAATTAATGAAAGCAAAGAAATATAAAAAAATAAAAAAAAAATAAAATAAAATAAGAATTAAGTAGTAAAATATAATTTAATAAAAATAAAATAAAAAAAAGGATGAAATTTAAGAAAATAAATAGATTAGCATTTAATTTTATATAAAAAAACAAGAAGATAATATCTTAAATTAAATAAAAATAAATAAAATATCAGATAATAATGTATCAGATATAAGCTTTAAAAAATCAAACTTAAATTAACTAGAAAACACTTTCAGAAAATTAGTATGAAAAAATTTTAAAAAAAATTTAAAAATAAATAATATTATAATTGTAACTTATAAATTAAATAAATAAATAAAAAAAAATTATATAAATATATGTAAAAATATATTTTAAAATTAATATATATATATATTTATATATTTAAATATTTATATATTTAAAAAATAATAATAAATAACACTCTAATAAAACTTATATAAAATATTTACAGAATAAATGAAAAGAAGATAAGATAATAAATATATAAAAATAATTTTTTTTGAATTTAAAAAAAAAATAATCTTTAAGATTTAATAAAGAACAAAAAAAAATATAAATGGATTGAAATTTAAGAAAAAATAATGAATGCGAAAGAAATATTTTTAAAAATTTAGAAAATATAAATGAAACTAATAAAACAAGTTTTTTTTATTTATATAGGAAGAAAATAATTTTATTAAAAAAAAGCCTTTATAATTTTAGAAGGAAAATATGAAAATAAAAAAAATATAAAAATTAATTAAAAAGAAGAAAAAATAAATAAGAAAGCAAAAAAGAAAATAGAATAAATATAATTAATAACAAACCTAGTAGTATTATGATTTTAAATATTTTAATTTGAAAGTAAGAAGTTTTTAATAAACAGAATCGCAAGTAATGAAAAATAACCATTTTTTTAAATAAAATAAATAAATGCAATTGATAATAATAAATAATAATAATTTTAATAATAAACAAAATACTATATTTTTATTTATATTAATCATTATAAAGAAGTTTTATTTAAAAAAAATGATTTAATTTTATAAAATCCGGGAACAAAGATTAAATAAAATGCTTATAGATAAGATAATGTATTTATTTTAGATTTATAATAATTAAGATATATATATTTGAATATGAAAAGATAAAAACAATTAGGAATTGTCGGATTTATATTTAGTATTTTTAAGCTTTCTTCATTTTTATATTTTAGATAAAGAAAAATAATATTTTAATAAATCAAAATAAAATAAAAAACTAATAAAACATACACAAAATTAATAGAATAAAACAAAAATTATTATGAAAAATAATTTATCAATTTTTATTAATTTATAAATTTTAAAATTAGTCATTTAAATGTTCTACATTATTTTAGTAGTATTTCTTATGTTTTTTAAACTATTGTTTTTTCTTAAAAAAGGGATAATTTTAATCACCCAAATTTTCCGAAAATACACCATTACCATAAACATCGCCTAAAGCTTAAAAATCTTAAAGGCCAAATCCTTATTATAGTTCACTAAAATCTTAAATTTAATCCAATAGTTATAATGGATATCCTTGGAAAAAATCAGGGTTAAATTAAAATCCTAAAGATAAAGGATTACAGAGGAAATTTTAGAAAGGCATATTGAACTAATTATTATAATTATAATTTTAATTATTATTGTTATTAAAATAATGTTATTAATAAGCATTTTTTTTTTTATGTACAAAACCATGTTCACTTTTGGAATTTCTAAGAAATTTTTCATGGGAATTCTTCAGATTTTCCCAAAAGGAAGGGTCATTATTCCTCTAATTTCTCATTTTCAGCTCTTATTGATCATAAAAGGGAAAATTATCTAATAAAGAAGACATTTATTCAATTTAAATGAATACTTCGAGCAATTTATTTCCCATTTTTTCATGTACTTTGGCACAATCACCCATTTCTAGTATTGATTTATGGGTAATTTTGTCTCTTATTTGTGTTAATTTTTCCTAGGGTATATCTTTTATGAAAATCCATTCGATTCTGAACAAACCAAACCATCTACATTCATCATTCCAATAAGTAAACGATTCATTTTTTAAAAAAGAAGTCTTTAATTATGCAACACCAAATAATTTTTTGGAATTACTTACACTAAATAGTAAATAAAAAGGCACATTTTCACCTTTCTCTTCGAAATTTCTTCTTAAAATTTCGTTGTTTTTCTATGTTGAAGTCCATATGCCGTATTTTATTGCTTTATGAATGTGATCTTCATTAAAACTCTTTATTAAATAGTATATTGCGGTTTCTTATGGGTCTGTTAGTTAGTTTATGTATTTTAAAGGGGCGATTTTTTCCTTTATTTATTCTAATTTTGTATAATCTTGGAGTTCAATAAATTAAGGGTTAAAATGAATTGGTGTTGGAATAGGATCTGTGTAAGATTTTTCCATTTATATTATATTTTTTTTTGTTTTAGTTTTAGTTTTTATTTTTGTTTTTATTTATATTATTATTTTGGTTTTTTTTTTTTTTTTTAATATTAATTTTTTTATTTTTATATCTTTTTATTTTATTTATTTTTACATAGATACAAGTGTTAAATTTTTTTTGATCAATATAGTAAAATTTTAATAAAAAATATAAAATTAAAGTAATATTTTTTATTATTTTCCTTTTTTTAGAATTTTTTTGTTATGCTATTACGAAAATTAAAATAAAAAATAGGAAATTTGAAAATAATTAAAAATTGGTAATTATTTTGACTAAGATTGTATTTTTTTATGGTATTTATATATATTTTTTTTAATCTTAGTTTGTAATATATTTAAACTATAAATTTTCAGATATATTAACGTAAAAAAATTATTTTAAAAAGTATTTAATACTTGTTTATTTCACAAAAATTGTTTGATTGCTTTATTAAGAATTTTATTTATTTTAATTTTTTATATATAAATTTATTTATTGTAACGTTATAATTAATCAAAAAATAGGTTCATTTATTATAAATAACATATTTTTAAATTTTATATATATTTAAATTTTTAATTAAAAAATAATATATATATATATATATATATATATATATATATATATTATTTGTTTTCATTTTCCACAAAATATTTTATAATAAAAAATGGCAGAAAATATTGTTTATAACAACAGTAATTTTTAATATAAATTTTCAAATTTTTATTTAAATCATTTTTATTTTTTTAAAAAAAATTGTATTATTATAAGGGGAACCTTATATTAAATTAAGTAGTATAAAATCTTAAGATAAAGACTAAAAAGAAATAGAAATTCGAAAACCTTCAAAATAAATAAAATTATATAATTAAATAAGTTTCATTTCTGGATATGGGCGAGAAGTATTTTTAAAAAATAAATTTTGGGGAAATATTTATTTATAATTTAAAAAAAAAAATATTATTTAAGAATAGATTAAATACAAATGTATAAGAAGATTAATTAAAATATAAATATTCAACTTAAAATGAAAGTTAATTAGAATATAAACCTTCATATAAAAATGAACAGTAATATAAAATTAATATGTATAATATATATATTTAGGGAACTTATAATTTTATTTTAACAAAAAAAACTATTGTTTATAAATAAAAAATACATAATTTTTGTTCATAAATAAAAAGTATTGATATAATTGATGACTATTATTTTTAATAACCTTAATACGTTTGTACTGTTTCTTTGAGTCTATCAGTATCTTTTATAAATAAATTATTTACTTAATTAGCAAATAAAAAGTATTTTGATAAAATAAACATTTTTTTAAAATAAAAAAAAATTAATAAAAATAGAAATTATATTATAATTGAAAATAATTAAACTAATGTTTTGATTATTAAAAGAAATCAAATTAGTTTTAAGGATTTTTTGATGTAATGTTTATTTAAAATAAGCTCAGATTAATTAATTTCTGTAATAAAACTAGAAATTAATACAAACAAATTATAAATGAAAAGAAAAATATTTATAAAATGTTTAAAAGGGGTATATAAAATTAAAACCAAAACAAAAAATTAATTAAACAAAAATAAATAAAGAATATTTTAAATAATAAGAGTTTTCTTTTAGATTTTTAAGAACAATTTTAATAATAAAAAAATAATAAAATAGATTAAGAACATTTATAAGTAAACGAAAACAATAATTTGCCTTATAAAGATTTTGATGAAGAGGAGTAAAAAAATAAATACATATTCTAAAATAAATAAATAAAGCGATGAATATTCAGAAGGTAATTTTAACCCTTTTACAATAGAAGCGAATTCAGATTATATGTTTCATTAGATTTTATAATTTTAAAATTATGGTATTGGTAAAAAAGCATTCGAATATATCGAAGATTTTTAAAGTCATTATAGAAATCCAAGTGAATCAGCTTAATTATTACCAAAGCCTGTAAAAATATATAATAAATTAAATTTTAATAACAAATAAAAAGATAGAAGGAATATATGTATTTACAAGTGAAATTGTACAAAGATTAATCAATGAAAATTCTTAAGATAAAAACGAAATAATAAAACCCGAATTTGAATATTGTCAAATTTCAGTGGAGAAATATATATATTATAAATTATATAATAACATAATATAAATGTACAAGTATAAAAACTAAGAAATAGATATAAAATATGCGGAAAAAAAAGAAGAAATTTTAACGAAATACACTTGCATATAAATTTTTTAATTTTTAGAAATTAAAAGAAAATTTTGGCTTATTTAAAATGATGAAAACTTTGAAAAAGATATCTAATAAGATTCATCATTAAAACCTTATTTTTAATCCATTAAAGAACTTGAAAAAATTCAATACATGTTTTCCCCAAGAGAAAAGTTAAAATGTACTATGATGATGAGATCTATGATGAGAGCTGCTGTTGTTCATTTTTATAAAGGAAAAGAAGAGATAGCTGGAATGGATGATGAATTACCTATTGTTATATTTATTATTTGTAATTCTAATGTTCCTTATATTTATTCAGAATTATCATTAGTTGAAGATTTTATAAAAATGGATGATTCAATTGAAAATGAATAAAAATTTTTAACTAATTTAAAAGTTTTTTTTTTAAAAAAAATTTAATAATAAAACTTTATAATATAGTATTTTTATTTATGTTTTTCTGAAAAAAGGCTGCAATTGAATATATATGTAATGATTGGATTATTTGAATTAATAATAAAGGAAAAATAAAATGACTTTTATTTTGTGAATTTTATTTTAAATTTTTTTATTTATTTTGATTTTTTAATATTAGAAGAAAAAAAAAATCGAAGCATTTCATCATATATAAATTATATTATTTAAATTTTTTAATATATCTATTTACAAAATGATAATATATAAAATAAAAATTAATTAAAAAAAATATAAGTTTTAATAAATAATTCTTTAAAAATAAAAATATATTTTTATAAATATTTGAAAATTTTATTGAAAAATCTACAAATTTTTTATGTTTTGCTTAGTTTAATCTATCAATATAATTGAAAAAAAATATCGTTTGCAGTTAAAGGTTTATATTTATTTTACTAATTGAAACATAAATTAATTAATTTAATAATAATAAGTAAAGATTTTTATAATTTATTGATTTATTGATTTAATATATACAAAATTAAAAAAAAAAAAAATATATAAATTTGTTTTATAAAAAATATACATTGTATCAATGAATAATATATTTGACTATCTCTATATTTAATCTTTAGAAATTCTGAAAATTTTGCTATTAATTATTAATAAAAATATAATAATAAATGTAAAAAAAGAAAGTAATTTGTAGTTTCTTTATTTTAATAAAATATAATTTAATATATAGAAAATAGATAAATAATATTATTTATTTTAATTATATTAAATAAAAATAATAAATAATATAATTAGATTAATTAAATATTTTATTTTATAATAAAATTTAATAAAAAAATAAAATAAAAATATATAATATTCTCAAAATATATAAAATGAGTATTGTAATTACAAAAGAAGAACAAGATTTGCTAACAATAGAAGAACTTTCTTAATAATTAGTAAAATAAAATAAAATAAAATAATATATATTAAAATACAAAAAAGGAAAGCATTTATAAAGACATGGAATTAATAAGAAAAGAAAATTTATTATTTGAATCTTATTTATTAAGGAATAAAGATACTTAAAATTAAAATTAATTGCTTTCAGATGAAAAAATAAGCAAATCTAAAAACAAAGAGAAGAAAATAGATAAAAAAAGCTTACTTTTAACAAGTTAGGAAAAGTTTGAAATTGCTTAATAAGAATAAGAATATTTAAAAAATAAAATAGAAGAAGGGCATTTAAAGTCTGATTAAATTTTAGAAACATTAAGAGTAATTTTAAAAATATTTCTATTTAATTTATGAAAAAAAATTAATTGAAATTTCTTTTAAAAGTCAATTTTAGAAGAAACAGATATGGCAATAACAGAAATAAGGAAAGACGCCTTTGATTTTTAAAGGGATATTTTAATAGGTATTTAAATATACAATGAAAAAAAAAAGGAAAAATTTATAAAAATAAAAAAAGGAGGAGAGAATAGTAGAAATGGAAAAATAGACTCAGAAAAATTAATAAAACATTTAGATGATAAAATAAAATAAAAGGAATAAACAATAAATAAATATTAAAGCAAAAAAAATAATTTAGAAAAACAAATAATAAAATCAAATAATTAAATTCATAGAAAGTAAGAAATGGGAGATGATTTAAAATTTATTGATTTTTACTAACTTTAAATTGAAAATAAGAAATATTTAAAAGAAATTGAAGATAAAAATTAAAAGCTTATAAGTTTAAAAATATCTACAAGTAATTTTTTGTTTTAAATTAAATCATTTTTTAAATAACAAAAAAAGTTAGAAATTAATAATCTCTTAAGGATTAAAAAAACATACTTAGAAAAGAATAAAATCAAATAGAAAATAACTAGAGAGAAATTATCGAAGATTAAAAAAAAATTGTAAAAATTAAAAATCAAATTGTTTCTACTAAAGAAGAGTCTAGTTCATTAGAAAGAAAAAGAAAAATATTTGAAAAATAAAATGAGACTTTTTAGGCTATGAATTAATCATAAGCTCCTGAAGTATTTTTTTTTTTTTTAAATATATTTATTTATTATAAATATATATAACTTTTTCTAGACTATGATATATGTTAATTTAAAAAAAACTGAATAACTATATGCATATTAACTTTAAAATTTATAAAGAAAAATAGAAATAGCCTAACTAGCTTATAAATAATCTAAGATTTTATTAAAAAATAACAGTCAAACGTTATACTAAAACGAAATAAATTCATGAAATAATTTATTTAATGTATAAATATATAAAAAATAAACTAATTTAAACAAAAAAAAAATTTTATAAACATCAAAATAAAATACAATTTAAAATAAAAACATAAATAAATATATTATATAGTTTATTATAATAAATCAATTTTAACTAACATATTCACTAAAATATTATTTTATTTAAAATTAATTCTTAGATGAATTTCCTCCTGGTTTCAGTATACTTCGAGGAGTCAACCCATTTTTAATTTTATAAGATAAGTCTTATTTTAAAATAATATTACTAAAAGAGATACTTTCATTAAAATGGACTTTTTTTCCACTTGAACCAGGTTCTTTAAAGTAATTATGAATATGTTTTTCACTATTATTTTATTATTCAACTTAATCGTAATTAATTTTTTCAACTTAAACGCTTTAAGCTCTTTATTTATATTTTATTTAGTTAAAAATTTTATATAAAAGAGGATCATTTTTAATAAAAAAATCATTATCTTCTTCACTTTCGACATATGAACTATTTTTACTTAAGGAAGAAGATGAAGAATTATAATTTATTTTATTTTATAATTATTAATAAATAATTGCTTTACGCAAATTTATGCTTTTTTTTATTGACATACTATCAAAAGTATTGCTCTTTTATTTTGTATTTTATATCACTTCTTCATCTTCAAAAGAAAAGTCTTTATTTATAATTTTCTCACTTATTGGTTATTTAATAGCTAAATTATTTATTATTTATTGATTTAAAATAAAGGAGTCTTATTAATTAATTTGTTTTTTATCAAAGGAAGTATCTAAAATTTAGTTATTTAATATTAAGTTAATTTCTGTTGGAGTGCTTTTAATATTTAAACTTTAGGGACTAATTTATTAGCTTAAATCTATTTAATTTTTACAAATCATAGTTTTTCCTACTGAGTATCTTAAACTTCTTTAAGAATTAGTTGAGCTGTTTGGTTGATTCATTTAATATTAATTTATTTTAGAATTTTTTAATTAATTTTATGGGCTTTTGTATTAATAGTCATCCTTTTTTTAAATAAATTAAAAAAAAATTAAAATTAATTTTTTTTTTATATATTATATTTTACTAATATTATTCTTTGTTCACATGTTTAATATTAATTGTTTTCATAAAAATTTTGTTTCATGTATTATTACTTTAATAAATATTCTGGCATACTCTAATGTCTTTGTCTTATAAAAGTTTACTATATGTTTATTGGTTTAGTTATAAAATGTAATTAATCGCTGATTAAAGGAGCAAAAATTTATTGCGAAAAATCTGAAACTTTAAACTAATTTTCCATATATTTAATTTTTAGTATATATATTTTTTTATTATTTTTATTAATATAATTTATTATATTTTTTTTTATTTTATTAACTTTAATCTTAAAGTCTGTAATCAAATCAAACAATTTTTTTAAATTTGTACTGTAAAGTGTATATTAAAATTTATAGTTTTGATTAAAATAAAAAAATATATTATTTAATTAAAAAATATTTATATTTTTATAAATAACATTAATTTACTTTCGTAATATTAAATTGATTTCTATATATATTTTTAAAATTAATTTTTATTATCTTAAATTTGTATTATAATAATATAATTATTTTTTAAATATTAATTTTTTTATATATAAAATTTTAAATATGTCAATTAAATTTTAATCATTTAATGACTTCATATAATTTTTTTTAAACAAAAAAAATCTATTTTTAAGCTCAAAATAATAAAAAATCAATTTAATGTTATAAAAATAAATTTTAATTTAAAATAATATAATAAATAATTATTATTATTTATTATCTTCATTTATTTTTTTCAAATTAAATTTATAATTTTATAAAAGCAAGCTAATTTTTTTTAGTTAGTTTAATTATTTTAAAATTTATAATAATTTTTATTACTATTTTTGCAATAATATTCTTTAAATTTAATTTTTCTTTTAAGCTCTTTTATAAATGATATTATTGTAAAATTATAATTATAGTATTTAATTTAAAAATTAAGTTTTATGATAATTAATATCTATATCCTCATATATAATTTATAAAATAAATTAGTAAATAAAATTAATAGAAGTTAATTTTTCATTAATTTATTAAATTTTTTATATTTATTTTAAGCTTCTTATTCTATTTGTTTTTATTTAATTAACTTTAAATTATGTTTTCTATTTTTTAAAATAAAAAAATTAAAATAATATTTATAAATTACATTCAAAAACAAATAATTTAATTTAAATTTAATTTTATTTAAAATCACTTTAATTTTAATTTTTCTCAAATTTTTTATAAAACATTTATGCTTGAGGACAAATTTATGCGCATTTTCTAGTACCAATATGTTTTTCTACTTATTTCCAACTTTTACGATATAAATTTAATGCTTCAATAAATTTTTAATATTAAGTAGTTGTCGATCTACCACTCAAATTAAATTTATTGTTTTTTTTTTTTTTCTAATTACTAATTTTAGAAATATTATTTTGACTATAAATATTTTTCTTCTGATTATTAATATTGATAATATTAATGTAAATTAAATTAGTAAATTTAATTTATAATATTTTTTGTTTTACTTTTAATTGAAAAATAAATCATAAGCATACTTTTATTTTGTTTAAATATAAAAATATTAAATTAATGAATTTTTAATATCTTTATAAACCAATAATGCAATTATTATTTTATAATTTAAATAAAAGAATAATTTCTTTAATATATTTTAGATATATATGAGATATTATTTTAAATTTTTTTTTTCTTTTAATTTTTTTTAAATAATAATTTTTTTATTTTCTTATTTTAAATTCATTTTATTTTTTAGGAATGCAACAAATAATATAATCGTTATTTATTACTTATTAAAAAAATTTATGAAAAAATTAATCAATCATTGAAGAAAAAAGAATAGTATATTAATATATTTATATTTTTTTAGTTATAAAATTTATTACTAATTTTAATTTATGTTGATATACTTAATTTTTATATGAAAAATGTAATTTTTATTAATTATTATTATTATTTTTTTTAAAAAAAAGATACTTAATTAAATAGATTGTAAAAATTAAAATATATTATATTAGAAAAAATAATAATATAAATTTTTTTTAAATAGATCGATCAATCACACAAGAACCATTCCTAATTAATTAGCCTCCATTTTGTTACCTATTCTCCAGTTATATAAGTAGTAATGTAAATTACCATCTCCTGGACTGAATTTCAATTCTTCCAAAAAGTTTTGATTATCCATAAGGTTCAAAGCATTAAATACATCGAAATCATATTTCTTTGCTAAAATTAAAGCATTTTCAATAAGTTGAGTTAAAGGAGTTACAGTTGCAACATTATAATAAGAATAAGCAGCTCTTAGTGTATTATGTTTAGGATGTTTGATAATAGTAGAAGGTAAGCTATAGAAACTAAAGAAATCAGTTACTTTTTTGTTTTTATCTTCTACAACATAACTATAAATTACATTAGGGATAGGAATCATATAATGTTTTATGTCTTCTTCTGTAAATACATTATATAAACTAAACTTTCTATTTTTTAATTAATAAAGTAAATAAATTATTTTATTTTGTTTAAAAAAAAAGTTACTTTAAATAAGTATTCAATAAAACAGTAACTTATCCAATATCTTTTTTCTTCATTTCTCTTAATCCTGGAATATTAGTTTCTTCTGGAAGTTTATACAATTTTTGTACTCTTGCAATAGTTTAATTTTTTCCTAAACTACTAAAATTAATCTATTTTTAAATAGAATAAAATAAAATATAATATATATACTTCAATTAATTTCTTTGGATGAAGAGATCTATGGTAATATGTAGCATAAGAAACTGGTTTTGGAATAACTACACCTGCAGTATATATGGCTTACCACATATTTTTAATATTTACTCTCCTTGTTATTTCTTTTATTAATACTGGAGCCAATCTTTAACTTCTAAGCTTTTTATTTACACATAAAAAGTTTATTTCTGTCATCTTTATTTTATCTTTTTGCTCAACTATTACTGTTACTGGGATTCCGGATATAAAGCCTACTAATTTTCCAGTTTTTTATACTCGAACTCCTACTGTCCAGTCTTTGTATTGTCCTGGAGGGGTTAATGCCCATTTCAAAAATTCTCGTGAATAATCAAATCTAAACATATTATCATCATCTTCTACATAGTTTTCTACTAATAATGTGTATAATTAATCCAAATCATTAGAATCTTCTAAATTCAAATCACTCCATACAAATCCAGTTGGAATATTATATGGTTCTTATCTGATGTCTTTGACTTCTTTTGGAAGATCAATTGGTCCACTTTTCTTTTTTTTATTAATTTTAAGTGATATTTTTATTTGAAGTTTTTTTACTTAGGTTTAATCTTCATCGAATTAAACAACTGGTTGAGTTTTCCAAAATTTCCAATCTTTAGAAAGTAATGTATTTTCTCTAGTTTTTATATTTTTTTATTGTTTTTTTATTTTTTTTACTTTGAACCTAATTAAAGTTATTTTCTTAATAAATTTTGATTTAAATTTTTTTGTTCTTCATTATCTTGATTTTTTTAAAGGTCATTTTAATTTTATTATTAATTTTCTTATTTTTAAAACGAATCTTTATCTTCCATTTTTTTTTTTATTTTATTTTTAAATATATATTAATAATATCTTTTTGTTATATATATATTTTTTTTTCTTTTTCAAGAAAATAGTTAATTTTTATTTTAAATGCAAATATTTTATTTATTTTAAATATAATATGATAATAAATCATAAAAATATATTTTCTATAAATTTTTTTTTTTATTGAAATAAAATTTTTTGAAATCCAAAAAAATAAAATATAATTTCTTTTTTAAATATTATTTAATATTAATAAATTATATGTCTTTGATTTTTTAATTAATTTTAAGATAATTAATTAATAAAATATTTTTTAAAAATAAAAATACATATTAAATTATTATATAAAATTGATAATAACATTCAATTTTTTAAATTAATAATTAACTGACTATATATTTATTTGTAAATTAATTGATATAAAAGTTTATTTATTAATTAAGTTTACTTATTTTAGTTTTTCAACATAAAGATAAATAACTTTAGTAACATTTATTATTAGAAATTAATATATTTAATTATTAAAAAATTTGAAAATATTTTCATAGTATTTTAGAAGAAATTAAAATTAATTTAGCTTTATTAGTTATAACTTATAAAAATTATATTTTTAAAGATTATTTGTTTTTAATATCTTTAAAATTAATTTTCTATTAAAAAAATAAAAATCACTTTTTTTTATAAATTTTTAAAACATATAATTAACAATAATTATTTATAATAAATATATTATAATAAATTATTTATATTAATTATTTATTTATCTAGAATAAAATATAAGGAATTTTCTTTTATACTATTTATTAAAACTTCGAAAAATTATATTAATTATATTATATTATATTATATTATATTATATATATTATATTATATTATATTATATTATAATTTAATATTAATTTTTTTATTTTTTTTTGATAAAATGATAAATTATAATATATAATATTGTATATATAAAATTAAACAAAATATCAAAAAAAATATTTTACAAAAAATGTTAGATTGGAAAGGACTTTTAAAATGGAGTTTAAGCAATACAGGTAACATTTAAATTAAATATTTATTAAATAAATTAATAAATAGATGGAACCTAAAAAAAGGATATTAAGCCTATGGAAGAAAAAACTAAATAATGGCTACAAGAAGCATTAGCTGATTATGCTTTATAAGATGTAAAAAATTAAAAAAATTGTATATAAAAATCTATAAATAGATTAAAGTAATCTAAGAAATACTATAAGAATTAGCAAAAGAAGAATTAAATAATAATGATGATGAAGAAAAGAGAATAAATTTATTAGAAAGATTAGAAGATATATTAGATTCTTTAGATATGGCAGACTGTATTTTAATATATAAAAATTACATATTTTATCAATAATAATATAAAAAAAGCACTTTATCAAATAGGAGGTTTAGTTTAAATGATAAAATTAGCCCAAACGAGTATGTACCCAAAAGTATAATGCCTATGTTTTAGCATATTTATAACCTGTAACTAAAATAATTCATATGTATAATAATGGTCAATATATGAAGGAGCCTTCAATTTCATAAATACAATACTAAACTCAAAAAATATAAAAGTTAAAGAAATGGCACTTTCGGCTTTAAGTAGTCTATGTAGAGGTGAAAATTTATAATCAAAAAGAGATTTCATAGATATTGATGGGGTTGAGTTTTTAGTAAAAATAATAAATGAAAAGGAAAGCTTTTCTTAAAGAATGAAAAATAAAGCATTTTTATTTTTAAAAGATTTAGTTTTTTATGATGATAGACTTCATTTTACATATAATAATTTGGATGCTTTTGCTAATACAAATGCCAAAGTTACAAAAACATTAAACAATGAAAGTGTGAAAGTTAATAATCAAAGTAAAAATAATGATATTACTTTTGATTAAAATTAGGAATTAAAAAAATAAAATGAAGACCCTAAAAATAAAAAATATAGAAATATTGTCAAAAATAAATTAATTTAAATGAACTTTATTTAGATTCATATTAATCTTTTACATGATTTTTCGGATATAGAATAAGATAATAGAGTTAATTATTTAGATATTTTAAAAAATGTAGTTATTTTTTCTAATGAAATTAAACAATTAATTAAAGTATGATTTATTTTTTTTAATTATTTTTACTTAATTTTATATAGGAAACTAAAAAAGATGCCTTGAAAAAAAATATGCTCGATGTTATGAAACTTGATTAATAAGATAAAGGAAGCAATGATTTTGAAATATAATTATATAAAGAAATACTAAATGAAATATAATGAGTTATAATTTATTATTTTTAGACTATGTTTATTATTTATTTTTAGTAAAAATTATATTTATTTTTGGATACAGTTTTTTTTTAAATATAATTTATGATTTTAATTTTATTATTTTTTCTTTAATTATCTAACATTTCTTTTAAAAAATAATAATTTATTTATAAATTAAACAAATTATTTATATCATATCTAAACTAATTAATAGTTAATAAATAAATCTGAAATTATTAAAAGTTTGTAGAACATAATTTAATTTTTTAAAAAAATTAAACTAAATTTTAATAAATTTTTTTATCATTATTTTTTATTCAAATAGATAAAAATAAATCAGTAATATAAAAAAATATAATTTTAATATAATTAAAATACAAAAAAATAAATAGTCTTTTACATATAAAAATAACAATTAATAAATTATAAAAAAAAAAAAATTAAAAATATAGAAATAAATTAAAAAAAAAAAAAAATGTTTAAAATTTTAATAATATTAATATCTTGTATATCTTAAACAATTTAATATAATTCGAATTTCTAGATTATATAATTAGATTAAATTATTTAATCCTAAATAAGTTAAAAAGAGTTTCATAAATATAAAGTGAATAGTTGTGCAAATATAAAGGCAGAAATCGAAACAACCGGATAATTAGAAATCTTAGCTGGATAAAGGAATTATGTAATAATAAATTAAATATGAAAATATAAATATGAAAATATAAATAAAGTTAACAAATAAAGGAATAAATGAATAAATAATTACTTAAATAGAAAATGAGAAAAAAATTGTTATTATAAAATTTCCTTTTGTAACTAAATAAAATGAATGTGAATAAGTAATAATAATAAGATCTATATAAAATGAAAATGTAGGTTACTCAATATAAGTAAGTTTTATAGAACAAGACTATATAAAAAATTTAAATAATTTGGATATATAATAAGCCATATTTTACAAAGAAACAATGTAAAAATAAAAAAGAATAACATATATAATAAATGAATAATAATTTCTAAATTAATAATTAAATGAGAAAAGTTTAATCATATAAAATTTTAGTTTTGGAAGTTCTAACTAAAATTAGTTGCCACAAATAATTTAATATTAAAATAATTATTTACGTGGCAAAATGATATTTTTAGATTTTAATTAATATTTTATTGCCTATTTTAATCAATAAATTATTTTTAATGTGAATAATTTGTAAAATTAGAATGAAAGTTATATATAAATTTAAAAAGAAAATGAACTATATTTCAATAATATTGGCTAAATAATTGGACTTAATTTAGCTTTTGAAAAAAAATGTGAAAAAAAGAAAGTTTATTTTAATAATGAAGGAAATTTTCTTTTAGAATTATTTATTTATGATATAAATTCTGTATAAATATACTCTTAAGATAATAATATTAGTTAAAAAGAGAAAACATGCTCAGATAAAAGCCAGAGTCTTTAATTTAAATAAATATAAAAATATAAATATGGAATAGAATTAAATAATATTTAAAAAAATGATTTTATTGTGATTGAAAATTCTAACAAAAATATTTAAATAAGTTTAGAGTTGAAAAGAGACTAAATTTTGGAACTATAGGAAGTGGATAATTTATAAATTGATGGATAATAATTAATAGTTAATCTTAAAAATTTAAAAAAATTTATTTATTTTTAGCTTATTCTGAATAAGAGGCGTAAGTAAATGCTATTACAGGCAGTTTTTAAGATAATAATAAATTTTATTAAAAAATAGATGTAAATTATATTGATTTAAAGAATTTTATTGAAAACAATAAAGATAAAAAATAAAATATTTTTGTATCTATAAGAGCTTATAATTAAAAAAATTAAGCTTTTATTTATAATGTAATTTAAATTTAATTTGATAATAAAAATTAAATTATGAATAAATTATTTATATTTATTTTTGTATTCCTCCTATTATTTGCAACTTTAGGAATATTAATAAGAATTTTAAAAAGAAAAAAATAAATGTTATAAAAAATGGATGAAATTTAATTATATGAAAAATAAAATTATACCAGCTATAAAGATAATGATAATAATGTTTATGTTATATATGAATGAATTTTATTTATTATTTGTTAAAGTAAATAATAATATTATGGTAGAAATATTAAAAAAGATACATAATATAAAAATATATAAAATAAAAATATTATAATATATAAATAAATTAAATAATATATAAATATATTTATATATATTATATTTATAATATATTTATATTTATATTTAAATTTATATTATATATAATAATATATAAATATCTATTATCTTTTTAATTTCATCTATTTATTTTTATATTTTTTTGCTTTTTATTTTTTAATTTTAAAATTAAATTAGCCAATATAAATGTTGTCAAAATTATACTTTTTTATATAATATATTTATACTATTATTTTATTTTATTTTTAAACATAAAATAATTTTGTTTTTTTAAATAATATAATTTGTATATATTTTATTAAAAAATATTAAAATTATTACATAAAAAAAATTTTATATTATATATTATATATTATATATTATATATTATATGTTAATTTATATATAAAAAAATCAAATAAAATATTTAATTTCTCCTATTTAGTTATTTGTTCTTCCAACAATTTTAAAAACTTCAGTAATATAAAGTCTTATATTTTTAATATTATCGATATTTGCATTATGAAATGAAAAGTTATTATCGAAAATCATTTTTACATACAAAACAACTAAATATCCTGAAAGATTTTCATCTTCACATTAAAAGCATTAATTGTTTTATATTTTCCATTAAAATACCATAAAATTTTTCATAAATTTCTATTGATATTCATATTCTAAGTACTTTAGAATATTCCAAACAAAAGGATTATCTTCAATTTTAGGATAAGAATACAATTAGCTATTACAAACTTTAAAAAAAAACACTTTTTTTTCTAAAATATTTACAAGTATAAAAGCAAAGACATTCTAAATAATCAAAGGAAAAACCAAATAATTATATTCAGTAAATAAATTAACTTTAATACTACTAATTTTATAATTTAATTAGTTTTATTTAATTAAAGGGTTTTTATAACTTAATTATGTATAAAAACTAGTTGAAAACACATATATTTTTTGCATTTTTTATATTAATTTTTCAATATCATTTTCATAATAATGTTTTTCTTGAAAATAAAAAAGCATGAAATTAATAATTTTCTCTTCTATGAAATCCTTACATAGCATGTTAATAAAGTATCTTTTTTTAATTTAAATTCGATATCTATCAACTATAATCTCTTCATTTTATTTGTATTCTTAATTATTATTATTATTATTATTATTATTATTATTATTATTATTATTATTATTATTATTACGATTAATAATATTATTTTTAATTTCTATATATTTTTTTTTATTTCCAAACTATTTATTCCATTCCCTTTACTTTAAATATTTTACATTCTTCGAAAATTTTTCCGGTAACCCAAGTCCACCTAATAGATAATTATGTAAATGAAAATGCATTTCTTCTTTAAGGTCTAAAAGTTTGTTTTAAGGAACTTTTGGAACAAGTAGAGTTGGTGCTTCGTTGAAGGCATCATAAGCTCTGTTTTAAGGATTTTTTGGAACAAGTAGAGTCGATGCTTCGTTTAAGGCATCATATTTTTACATAAAATATTAAAAGTTTCTGTCTATTTTTTAAATTTCTTATTCAAATTTATTATTTAAATTTTGTTCTTCTGTATTTCCTCTATTTAATATCCGTTCTATTATTTACTAACGGTTTAAAATATTATCAAGATCTTGGTTTTAGTCTTTTTCCAGAAGTTTTTATTTTAAAAAGTTTTTTAATTCCTCAATATTTTATGTTTTTACATTTTTAGTATTTTTTAAAGCTTTTATTTTATGTATAAAATTTCTTTTTTTTTTTTTTTTTAATAAAAATATAAAAAAAAAAAAAAATTTTTACTAAATTTCTTTATTTTCTGAAATATTATTTTATTAATTATTTAAAAAAACTAAAATTTCTTCCATTTTCCTTTATATACTTTTATCATCTGACTCTTTTTCTATATTTTTCATTTCTACAGGAACTAATACTGGTTTATTTCTTCCTTATTTTCTCATTTATTATTTAAACTAATAATTAAAATCCCATATATGCTTAAAATCATCATCATCTTTAAAATTAATTTCTTTTTAATTATCTTTCTTATTATCAACAAAAAATTATATTTATTATTATTTTTAAAATGATTCATTGTCATCCTCATAATTTTCTTAAAATTAAAATTTATTATTAAAAGTATAACTATTACTATTATTAACTTATTATTATGATTATATAAGATTAAAAGACTCATCAATATTATTACTATTCATTTTATTTTATTTAACTTTATTTTATTAGTAATTAATTTTTCCTTCTTCTTTTTAATGCAAATTTTAAACTTAATCATCCTCATCATCATCGTTTTAAATAAGAAAATTATAATTTTTTTTTTTTTTTTCTTTTTAATTTTTAATTACTTTCTCATCTTCAAATTTATCTTTTAAACAAAACAAAATCTATTCGCATCGTTTTTAAAGTATGCTTTATTCCAAATAATTAAATTTAATATCCAACAAATTTTAACCCAATATATATTTATAATAGAAATTAACTAAAATAACTCCATAATCGCCTTCATTTTATTCAAATTAATTTTAAATTACATCAACATCGAACTCTTATATACTTAATTAGAATTCTTTTTCCAAAATTTCATCTAAAATTTTGAGGAAAACATCAATTTAATAAATTATTTTTCCAAAATCTAAATAAAGGCATTTTTGTTCTTCCAAATTTAACCAGAAAGATGTCCATTTATTACCATCATTTACAAATAGAATCATTTCTTAATAAAAATCTTTTTGAAATTCACTTAAAAATAAATACTAAGAAACGTTATTCCATAAATTATATTCCAAATTTCCCATTTCATCAAAACTAATGATTCTAATTATTACAAAAAATATTTTTCGTGCAAATTCTTCACCTTTTACCAAATTTTCATTTTATAAATAATTTAAAAAAAACGTGCACATTTTTCCTTTCATATTACCATTTTTTATTAATTCTTCTACTTCATCATATGTTATTCGGACATTTAAACCTTTCAAAAATGTATCATTTTATTATTTTTACGTTTAGATGTATTACTTTATTTAATTTATGTATTTTGCTTCGTCAAATAAGCTTAACTTTGGTAAATCTGTTCGAAGAAATTCTAATATTTAACTATTATATTACATAATAAATAAATATATGTAAAAATATTATTTATTTATTTTACGTGAGTATTAATATTTTAAAAATAAAATAAAATATTAATTCAATAAAAAAAAAAATGAATACAGAGTTAATAAAAAAAAAAAAAAAATCTTCTTTTATAATAAGAAAAAATAATATAATATATGTTCTTTTCGAGTTTTCTCTTTATATATTGACTTTTTTCTAATTTTTTTTAATACCTATTGAATTATCTTTTGAAATAACCTTATCTTAAGTATACTATCGTTTCCAAATTATAAAAATAATTATTTTTTTATTATTTTTATTTCAAATAATTCTAAAATTTAACACATCAGTATACCATTAAGGTTTCGAGATCCTTGATCGCACTTAAATAATATAAAAATATACTAAACAGATATACAACAGTTAATTTTTTGCAGATTTTTTAAGTATTTTGGGTTTATTTGTTGACACATTTTAGTTAAGAATTCCAAACGATATAAAATAAATATTTAACATATTTTTTTATAGTAAGTTATTTTTTGTATTAAAATTCGATAATTTCATAAAACTCTAATTTCGTTTGAATAGAAAAACATAAAATGCATATATTATAATAAGACTTTTTTTAATAGTATTTTAGATAGCGAATATATTCGCCTGTATATATTATATTATAGGAAATTATGCTTGCGATAAATATGAAGTTTCTTATTAAAAAACATTATACGAAACCTTAAAACCATATCCTTTATATGACGAGAATGTACCTTTTAAATGTTCTATGGTAAAAGAAATATCCTTTTGGGACAAATACTTATATTCTTTGTATTCTTCATTGAATATTATGACTACTGTTAATTATTCAAATGTTTATTCGATTACTCCACCTGAAATTGTTTTCAGTTTGCTATTCATGATGATAGGAACTGTTATTTTTGCCTTCGTTATTGGAGAAATTCTACTTATATTGGAAGATGTTAAATATGGATATAACCTTTATGATAAAAAAGTTAGAAAATTCGATAGATATTTAAGAGATAAAAATATAAAAAATGATACTAAAAAAAAGATTTTAGCTCATGTTTAATTTTAGTTTGATAATTAGAAATATAGAAATTAGGAAATTGAAGAAAGTGTTATATCATAATTACCTTTTTCTTGGAAATCTTAACTTTATTATTAGGCTTATTTATTTTTTTTTGATTCTTTGGGATGGCCAAGTTAAAAATTTTCAGTTAGTTTTTTATGTCAATTAGCTTTTTATGTGTAAGAATACTTTTACTTAGAAGATGAAATAGTTTATGAATAAGTTTTAATATTTTATTTTTATTTATATTTATTTTTTATAAGAAAGAATTCAATTTCTAATAATTTAGGACTCTATTATATTCTTAAAGGCTAAGTTTAAATTATTTACTAACCCTCTGATTAACAATAGTTTTCTTGGAATATTAAAGTTAGATTATAAATATTTTATATTTAAATATATTTATTTTTTATTGAAAAAAAAGTAAAAATAATGTTTTAGTACATATCAATTTATTACAGGCGAAAAAATTATTGAAAAGGTTGTTTGTTTAGAAGCATCATAAATTTTATTTATAGAAAGATAAAAATTTATTTAAATATTATAAAACTTTAAAGAAGATGAAGTAACAAAAATTATTATTTATTATTTTAAAATTTATTTTTATTAAAAGACTTCATTTTATAATCTAACATTAGAAATTTAAGAAAACAAAAATATTAAATTGATAGATTTATATTGTTAAAATTGTAAAAGTAATAATCACATTATTTAATAATGTAATCAAATATAACATGATATTAAACTCATTTAATTAAAAAAACATTAGTCTTTATCTTCTAAAAAAAGTTAAATGTAAAGGGGGTCCTCTTTAATATAAAGTATTTGTATGCTAGATGATGATAATGTTATAGATGAATAAGATGAATTAATGAATCATGAATAGCTAAAAAACTATAAAAATCAGTTTAACAAGACTATAAACAAAATCAAAAACTATGAATAAAATAATGAATAACATCCTGACATTTGGTTTTTAAGATCTTAGTCAATATAATATTATTAATAAATAGAAAACAATATTAATAATAATATTATTGAAGAATCTAATGAAAAAAATGAGAAAAGTGATAATGATTGTATTAATAATATTAATATAAATAATAGTGATAACAATAATTAAAATGAAGATTTATGACATTCTTTTTAAATTTAATTTATAATTTTATTTAATTATTCAAATATCTTTATTCAATAAAATAAAATATATTATATTTTTAATTAAATGATTGATTTTATAAATTATTTATTTATTCGAAAAAAATTACTTTTATAATTAAATAATCTTCAAAATATAAAGCTATTATTTTATTTTCCAAAAATAAAAATGTTTTCTATATTAAAATTGAAAAAATATTTCTACTCATATTGCAGCATAACCAAATATTTTTTTATATAAATCTAAAAAAAAAGATGTAATATTAGTATTGTTTTCCTTCAAAAAAGTAATTAAATATCCTACATCTTTAAACTATTAAGCACTTAATACAATAAAAAGCCAAGCCAAAATTAAATAATTATTTAATATAATTCCAGGAATCCAACTAATACAATCAAAATCTTCACTAATTTATTTCATATTATTACTAATGATATTTCCTTCTTCATTTTCTATTTGTTGATCATCTTTTTTTTAATAAAAAATTATAATTAAAAATAAATAAATAGTTTTTACTTTCAAGATAATTTTTTGCATTTTTTAAAGAATTTCCTAAAATAATGCCTTAAATAGCCATAAAAGATGCTACGATACTACTTCCAACAATAAATCCAATAGCACTTAAATTACCAAAAAGTGTACTAATTAGTAAACAGATTACAAAAATCTAAAAAATAAAATAAAATTAAAAAATATAAAAATAAAAATACCATAACAACATTTAATCCTAATCTAATTGCCAAAACCTTAAATTTATCAAACATAAATTCATGAATATTTCTCAAAAAGCTTCCTTTGAATCCTTAACTTTTGAATTTCTAAACATCAAATTATACTCTTGTGGCCACATCTTTAATATTTTTACATACGAAAGCTCTTTATCCTAATACAAACGCTCCTCCAATGCATAATCCTAAAAACACCATACTATTAATAAGATCTAAATTTTTATTTTCTACCGAAACTTAAACAGATCCAACTGCTAAAAATGATAAAAATAAAGTGGCTGAAACTCCTAAAATCTAAATAAAGGCATCATAATTATCACATGCCCAACTAATTAAAAAAAGTCTGTCTTTAATTCCAAATGTAAACGAATTCAAACTAGCTAATTAATAAGCATCTCCAGTTATAAGTGTAAAAAAGCAAAGTCCTCCAAGTACACATGCGCTTTAAATCATTCCAACAACAATCATGCAAATACCAAAAATACTCCCAAGCATAAAACCACAAATTCCAGCTCCTGCAACTACCAGAAGAATAGCACACATAGCAAGATCAACTTAAAATTAAGAAGCAATAATGCCTTATGAATGTGAATAATCTCTTGCAAGTCTATTAATATTTTTAACAAGAGAATTATTATGTGAAGTCCAAATATCAGTAATAATTAAAAGAACAACAGATGTTAATTATCCATATTATAAGCACCATATAATATCTCCAATACTTATATTTACATCAAAAATAGAGTCAGTTACTTTTGCTTTATCTTCTCCTTTTCCTAATTCAATTTTTTCATTTATTACTATTTAAGGTACAAAAAATAACATTATGTAAATTATTAAATTTACGACAATATATTATATTCTAATTTAAGTTGCAACGTATGTTGTATTATATGGAGTTTTTACTAATTTTTCAACTATTTTTACTATCCAAGCAATAAAACCAGTTAATAATACATTCAAAGAAAATATATATAGAATTAAATGTAAAGCTATATGATGTAATTACTCTTTGTCTTTATATATATACATTGTTAGAGATATTAAACATGATATTATGCTTTAAATATCAATAGAAGTACTTATATTATGTTAAAAGTTTTCGCTTATCATTATACTTTATTCAATTGTATTTCTTATTGATATGCCTTGTGGATTTCTTTCTTCGGAAAGGGCTTTTTCTGTAAGTTCGCTTCCTATAGTAATTCCCTTAAATTAGGTAGTTCCTATTTCTCTATAAAAAATGCCTGTAATAGCTAAACCAAAAGAAAATCCTATATAATTAAAGAATGTCTTATTATCACCTGTTATTACTTTTATTTTTTATTTTTTTAATTTTAAAAATATATATTTATATACATTCATATAATGGCATTCCTATTTATAAAAATATAATAAGAATTACTAAATAAAATACAGATAAAGCCGAAGATATTAAAAAACCTTCAGAAAAAGTTTTCTCCTTATTTTATTAACCTGCAAAAAACATTTTTTATGCAGAATTATTTTACATTCTTACTAATACGAAAGTATTTATGGACATACAAGCGAATCCTAGCCAAAACTAAAATAAAATTTTGAAATATAAATCTTTTTATGCAAACCATATTAAGAAAGTTAAACTAAAAATAAAACAGGCTGCAAATGCTACACAAGATTTTTAATAAAACACAAAAAGAGATTAATTTTTTATTAAATCGCAATATTATTAAAATAATTTCGAACGAGCATTTTCCCCAATTTGGATAATTGAAAGTAATGATTCATCCTCATAAATATCTTTTTTTAATGTACTCTAGTGTTTCAATTTTTTAAAGTCTTATTCGCATTTTCCATTTATTTTCTTTTTTTTTGAAAATAAAGTATTTTTTATTTAAATTTTTAATTTCTATTTATTTTTACTTTAGCAAAGTATAATACTAAACAATAAATAAATGCTGTGAAAGAAAACGAAAAAATTGAATAATATATAGTTGAAGTTTCTACCATTAATTTTTTTATTATTTAATATCAATTAAATATTATAAAACTATTTATTTTTTAAGAATTAAATATTATATTTTATTTATATTTGATAATATATTTTTATCTTGTAATTAATGAATTGTATTGTATTTTTTTTTTTTAAGGTTTATCTTTTTTAATATGAAATGCATTTTATATTTATTTTTCGTTTTTACTTAAAAAATATAATTAAAAACGGTTATTAATTTATTATTTTTGATAAACGCAAAAATATTGTAAAGTAAAATGAATAAATACTATTTATTTATTGAAATCTAAAAATTAATTAAAAAAATCAATACCTTTATTTTGTTTGTTAAAATAAAATTAAAATAAATAATAAAAACAATTACTAAAAAGAAAAATAGTTAATAAACAAATAAATTTTGAAACATATAAATTATAAAATATATAAATATATATTTTTTGTAAATTAAAATAATTATACATAAAAATATAAGTAAAATTAAATCTTTAATAAATATATACCAAAAAATAATATTTAAAATAATAATTAAATTTATAAAATATATAAATTAATATATGATGTTATTTTTAATAAACAAAAATAAAAAAGGTTTATCCAAAATATAAACATTTATATTTTATTAAACAAAAATTACTAATTTGTTAAATTCACCCCCCTCCCCAAAGCACTATTTAAAATAACCTAAAATATTCTTAATTGCATTTTTTGAAAATTTATTAAAGTTTTGACCTTAATAAATTAAGAAATGGCGGCTTTATCAATTTTTTTTAATTTTGTTTAAGTTTTTAATTATTTTGCAAATTTTATATATATGATTTGAATTTATTTATTTTATACAAATTTAATTTTAAAAAATATGTATTTTATTTTGTTTTAAAAAAAAATTATTGAATAGTTTGTAAAAAAGGATATATCCAATTAAAAGAAAACCTTATTTCAAAAACATAAAGCTATTTGATAATTATTAGAAAATAAAATATTATATAGTTGATGCATAAATAGATTAATTATTTATATAAATTATAATATTCTATTTCAATATTTAAACAATATTTTTTTTTATAAATCTTTAATTAATTAAATAATATTAATTTTGTAAAAAAAAATATGATTTTATAAAAAAAATATGATTTTATAAAAAAATATGATTTTATAAAAAAAATATGAGATTTGTAAAAATTTTAATAACATTTTAAGTTTAATTTATTTAAAAAATCTTGATATATTTACTTAATTAATAAACATTTATGGCGTATAATATTAATATAGGAAAATATTCTAAAGTATAACTCTAAAATAATATTAATTAATTGGTAATATTATTATATATTTCAGTTTTTTTTTAAAATTTTCCTTATTATATAAAATCTTAATGTTTATAGCTGTTTAACAAAGACAAACATAAATTATGTATAAATAAAATCAAGTCTAAATCAAAATAAAATTTGCTCTAAATACAATATTCAATCATTTAAAAATTAAAAATAGTTTAGTTTTCATATCGAAAAATAATTTAATTTGATATATCCCTACAATTATTCATAATATATAAAAAAGAAATAAAATAGGAAAACAAACCGTTTTTTAATATAAACACAATTTGTTAGGAATCATAAATATAAAAGCACTCTTTAAGAAGAATATAATTAAAACTACAAAGAAATCATAAAATATGCAAAATCAAAAAACTTTAGTATTAATTACTTTAAAAACAATACTTTTTTATATGTTTTATGTATAAAATAAAAAATATAAAGAGTATCTTATATTATTTCGTTTTTTTTAAAAAAGTAATAGTTATTATTTTTGATTTTTTTAATCTTTTTTACAATTTTTTTTTCAATAAACTCAAAAAAAAAAAAAAGCAAGAAAAAATGGATAATAATAGACTTTTTTTTTGTTAATTGTAAAAAAATAAAATAATAAAATAATTTAACATCAAATAAAGTAAATATTTTATAATTATTTTTCTATTTCTAGATTTGATAGATAAATTTAATAATATATTTTCTTACTTAAATTTAAAAATTTAATTTTTTATTCATCCTTAATACAGTTTTTTATAAATAAAAAAATATAAAATTAATTTAAAAAAAGGTAATAAAATCATTTACAAATAACAAATAATAATAAAATTAAAAACATATAAATAAAAATAACAAAAACAAAATAATAAATATATTAATAATTATACGAAAAAAAAAAAAAAAATAATGAATCAATAATCTTATAAACCATTAAAACAAATTGAAAAAGGAAGCAAAGGTTGGGGTCTAAAACATATTGCATAAATGACTTTAGGTTCTGGAAACATGAGCTTAGCAGTAGAGTTACCTTCAGGAGAAGAATTAAATGAATGGTTAGCAGTTAATACAATTGAATTTTATAACGAAATATCAATTTTATATGGTACGTTAATGGAATTTTGCACTTAAGAAAGTTGTCCTATAATGAGTGCTGGTCCAAAGTAAAAAAAGCAAAAACAATAAAATAAAAAAAAAAAAAGATATGAATATTTATGGGCAGATGGATAAAATGTAAAAACACCTTTAAAAGTTTCAGCTTGCGAATATATAGATTACCTTATGACATGGGTAGAAGCATAAATAAATAATGAAACATTATTTCCTTGTCAAATAGGTTTATTATCTATTTTTTTAAGTTTCTTTTATTATTATTATTTTTTTTAAAAAAGGTGTTCCTTTTCCTAAAAACTTTTTAAATGTAATTAAAGTTATTTTTAAAAGATTATTTAGAGTATATGCTCATATGTATCATTCTCATTTTCAACATATTATGAATTTAGGACTTGAATATCATTTAAATACATGTTTTAAACATTTCATTTATTTTATTGATGAATTTAAATTAGTTGATGATAAGGAACTTGCTCCTTTAGCTGAACTAATATAATAATTTAAAGCTCGTAAAGAAAATCCTTAAGCAAATTAATGAATAAATAATAAATATATATAAATTATATTAGATTTATTTTTTAAATGTTTATTTGTTTGTGTTTATTTGATAAATTTTAGATTATATTAATTTTTGTAATATTTTTTTTAAATTTTTTCTTTTGCTCAAAATATAATTTTGAATTATTTTTCAATTTGATTTAATTTCAAATATTTAAAAAACTCTATTTATATAAAAAATAAAAATATAAAAGGATAATTATAAAATTTAATTATATATATAGAACAACTATAATTAAACTTAATAAATATAATATAATATAATTAAAAGTTTATAATATTAAAAAGCTTAAAAAAATATATAAAAAAGTTTAATATTTTAATATTAAAAAATATCCTATATTCAGCATAAGAAATATCAATAAAAGATAATTTAATTTATTATTTAAAAAAATGATTTTATTAAATTAATTAATATTTTACAAAAGTATTAAAGTAGACTCTATTTAGAAATAAATAATATAAAAAAATAATTATATATATATTTATAAAAACTTATTTTAATTAAAAATAAAATAAAAATGGAAACAAAATAAATTTCTCCATAAATAGAAATAACCAAGGATATAACTTAAATTGAATAATAAAAAAATGCTTTCGAATAGCTTTAATATGAAAGTATTATATCGTTATGTAAATAAATTTTAGTTTTTATAATATATTTAAATAAAATATACAAATAAATACTGAATAGTTACTAGTTAAGAAAGAGAATAAATAAAAATTTCAGCTGAATATTTAAAATCTTTTATTTTAAGATATAAACCATCATATGAAGTAATTTAAAAATATTTTAAATAAAAAATATTTTAATAGAAATTTCTTGAATTTTTATAAGGAATATTTGATTAAAAAGATAATTAATAATTACTTAAAAATTCATCTTAAAATATTCCACTAATCTTCGAAATACTAAATTACTTATAAGGGTTAGTTATGATACAAAAAGTATACTTTAAATTAATCGAAAAATATGAACTCAGCTTCGATAAATAATAAAATCCCTAAATTTATCAAAGAATATTAGAAAATTGGAAAGAGATAAATATATAAATATTAAAAGACTATATAATATATTTTGATATATAAGAAAGAATTCCTATATATTAGTAAAAAAATAATAACAATAAATTAAATCAAATATAAAAGAATAAAAGAATAAATAGAACATTACCATCTTATAAAATAATATAGTAATGCTATTGAATTGATAAAGATATTCTAAAATCATAAAATTTAATTGCTTGAATTTTTCATATAAAAAATGAGTAATAATAAAGAAGCATCAAAAGCTACAGATTTAATAATTCAATTTAATTTAAAAAAAGAAGATTTTCCTGAAGTAGAACTTCGGCTTAAAAAAAGTACAATTAGATATTTTTCTAAAAACTTTTAATGGGATTATGTTTATTTTTCGTATAAATAAAACAAAGATCTTATTGCTATTTTAGTAGAAGATTTTATTTATTATAATTAAATTAACGAAGCATTATCAATCATATATTATGATAAAGAAGTATTGTAATATATTAAAAAGCAAGATACTATAAATTTTATTTAGAATAATTAAAATTTTAATTTATTACCTTTAAATATTATCGAAAAAGACGCTTTTGGACCTTATAGTGAAAACTAAGGATTAGAACCAGTTAATAAATATTAGAATTTTAAACACTTTGGAATTTCTAGAAATAATATTTATTTTATTGATAATATTAATACAAACGAATTCGAATTTGCTAAAAAAGATTTACTAGAAAGTTAGATTATTAGCTTAGATTGTGAATTTACTTAATAAATATCAAAATTTGATAATGCTTAATAAGCTGCTTTATTATAAATTTCAAATTGTTAAAATGTTTTTTGTTTGATTTTTTAAAATTAGGTAATTAAAAGCAATACTTAGATTTTATTAAATAATTAATGGAAAGCTAAAATATTCTCAAAGTATTTTTTAATTAAAAATATAAATTATCTGTTTATTATAAAATAAAGATTGGACATAGTTTAAATGGAGATTTTAGTATGATAGCTAATTTTTTCAATGGATAATTAGTAAAAAATAATAAAAATTTATTTTTATTATTAATTAATTTATATTTTTTTAAGAAATTTATTTATTATATTGATTTAATTGATATTGCTAAATAATATAAATAAAAAAATAATCTTTAAAAAAACATTGGTTTAACATACCTTTCAGAATTAATTAATGGTATAATTTTTATTTAATTATATTTTTAAATATTAAAATAATCATAGGAAGAGGATTATGTAAACTTGAATGTTAATCTAATTGGAGCTAAAGACCATTAAGATAATCTTAAATTCATTATGCTGCTATGGATTCTTTTATAGGAATTTAAATTTATAAAATGTTTCAAGAATTATGTGGCGAAAAAGTAAACTATATTTAATTTTGATTATAGAGAATAAAATTACTTTTTTTTAATACTATTTTAAATTTTTTAAAAATAGGAAATTAAGAAACATATATAATTTTGATACTAGCTAAACAATAAAGACATAAAAATTTTATATTTATTATTTATATCTATTTTTAAAACAAAAAAAATAAGGAAATATATATTAAAAACTTAAAATATAAATAATTAATAAAAATTATATTCAATATAAATAAAAATAATTGTTTTTAAAAAATTAACTATTAAATCAAAAAACAATGAAATTCTATTTAATAACAATAATTAATATTTAATATTTATTATATAAGAATTAAATCATATTTTATTTTGCTTTGATTAAATTTCCCTAAAATCATCTTCAGTATTTTTTTTGCCATCATTAATTTAATTTTAAAATGGGACTTATCCATTTAATTAAATATAATTCTATAGGAACTATCCTTACAATTAAGGAAGCTATTATTATAAAATAAATTAATTAATGTCAGCACTATTAAAATTATTAGGTTGTAATTCAAATCCTTAAAACATATTCATATTTTATTAAATAAGCTACTTCTAATCTTAAACATTAAATTGACCTAACTATTATCTTTATAACTGAAGGAAAATGTCATTAATCTATTAATCTTATTAAATTTATTATTATTATTATAATTAAAAATTATTTTATTAACCTTGTTAAAGATTCTATTATTAAGTTGATGTTGGAATTTATATTTTTTATTATTATAATTATTATTACTTTTATTATAATTACTATTGTAATAATTATTCTTATATAATATTTTCCATCTACATTTAACTCTTAAATTAATCAACCAAAATAGTCAATTTTAATTTTTCCATTTCGAATTAAATACTATAAAGATTTTAATATAAAATCACCAAATTTTATCTATTTTCTTCTAACTATTTATAATCTATAACAATTTATAAATTAATTTATTATTATTTCTTTTAAAGCTCTTATATTTATTATTATTTTTAATTTAATCCAAATTGTAATTATTATTATATTGTACTTTAATAGTTTTTAAATAATTCACATAATTATTATATTTTAACAACTTATAATTAAAATTGTTCTTGTTTTTTTGTTATTTCGACCTAAAGAGCACTTTCATTTTATTTATAGAAATTATATTATTACTATTAATCATAAATTTCAAACTGTTAAGGTATTTATTATTATTGTTATTATTATTGTTAAAGCAGAATTATAATAAGAGTAAATTTTAATCTGGTTTATTTATGTCTTCTACTAATTTGTTATCTTTTTTTTATTCTGCACTAAGATTTTATTAATCAATCAAGGATAAATATTATTATTACTATTAATTTTTAAGCAATTATTATAATTACTATTGTTAATTATTAGGCATTAGTAATAATTATTATTATATTTACTGCTATTATTATTATTATTATTATTATTATTATTATTATTATTATTATTATTATTATTATTATTATTATTATTAGTGTTATTATGTTATTTAAAATATTTGCTATTATTATAACTATTATTATTAAGTTAAATCTTATTATTTCATTTTATAATTTTACTATTTTTATAATAAAAATTATTCTTATGTTTATTATATTTCATTATTTTAATTTTATAATGTTTTTGATTATATATGTTGTTCGAAATTTATTTATTTTTCTTATTATTTTGTTAAGTTTTTTTATTATAATTTTTGCCTAGTATTCTTTATTTTTGATTCATCTTCAATTTCTAATTAACTGTTTTTTTCTTAAATTTCATTTTAATTTTGTTATTGTATTTATTATTATTAACTTTTATTTTGAAATTTCTCTTATTAGTTTTATAATTAAACATATTATATTATATTATTATTATTATTATTATTATTATTATTATTATTATTATTATTGTTGTTATTATTATGTTATTTAGTATATTTACTATTATTATAATTATTGTTATTATATAAAATCTTATTATTTTATTTTGTAAATTTACTATTATTATAATAAAGCTTGTTCTTGTGTTAGCTATGTTTCATTATTTTAATTTTATTATGTTTTATTTAATATATTTTATTCAAAAATTTATTGTTTTTCTTATTATTTTAATAAGTTTTTTTATTATGTTTTTTGTCTTGTATTTTTAACTTTTGATTCATCATCTACTTCTTATTAATTACTTTTTTCTTAAATTTCATTTAAAATTTATTATTATATTAATAATTATTAATTTTTATTTTAAAATTTTTCTTATTAATTTTATTATTATTATTATTATTATTATTATTATTATTATTATTATTATTATTATTGATATTATTATAATTATTATATTTATTATTATTATATACTTTTTTTTATTTTTATGTTTATAATTGTTATTATTACATTATTTATTATTGGTCTTACGTCTTCTGTTATTATTATTCTTACTATTTTTGTATTTGTTACTCTTTATCTTATTCTTATTATATTTGATATTGCTATTATTACATCTGTGTTTAATTCTTTTATATAGTCTATTATAGTTAATTTTATTATTATTATTATTTTTACTATA